AAGATGCTGTGGGAGGAATCAACCCCATGGGGTCGTGATCATGTCCATGTCGGACATTCAGATTTATCTCACCTCTGATTTATCCCCTGGTCCTTCACAGAGAGGAGGAAATCCTGGCCAGGGAGCTGAGGGACCGCAGTGAGCAGCTTTTATTGCTGCCACAGAGCACAGAGCGGCGCGGGTACATTGGAGCTGCCTTCAAGGAGGAATGATGGGGCTGTAATTCCCAAGGGAGAAGTAAAGCATTTCCAAGCGCATCCCATCCCTGAGCGCTTTATCCATATGCAGGGCACCCCAACCCCAACCCCAGCAAACCCCCTAATCCTGCTCACTAATCTTCCAGCCATGGAAAACGGTCAGCTGATGGGATTTATGGGAACAAGTGGGAAGAGTCCTCAGCCCCAGTGAGCAGATGGGTGAGCCAAGCCCTGGCAGAGCCTGGTGGTCCTCCAGCCCTGGTGATGCGGGAGGGCACAGCACAGGCACCAACCAGCAGCCCCTGCCCTGGTGCTGCTCACTCATCCCCATCACTTGTAGAAACTCCCACCACGCACAGTGTAAATGAGTCGTGTATCAGTGGAATGGGCAATTCCGCCAGGCAAATTAAAAGCTGTCCTCGTGGTTAATTATAGGGCAGCTTTATATGCGACAAATTAGGGAGAGTCCTGATGAGGTAATTTGTTAATTATGGAAGCCTGGAGGCTTTTGCTTCATTAGATGCTGGCAAATCCTTTAATCTGAAGCACTGCTTCTCCTTCAGCACCCCCACATCCCCCTGACCCCAACAGTGACACTCACCATGGGATAGCTCCTGGCACGGCCCTGGGACTTACAGCAGCAGCTCAGCATCAGTGTAGTTCTGCTTCCCCTTCCCTCAGGAATGTTCACTGTGGAGGAAGAGTGTGAGATGCCCACAGCCCGGCTGCTGCTGCCCCCGAACAAAGTCCAAACCTGCCTGCAGGAAGGGAAGAGGGGATAGAAAAGAGGGAAAGCAAGCTTCTCAGGTCAGGGTTAATGAATTAATTGACTTTAATAATTGGGTTATGGTGCAGGGGGGCTGTGCTGCAGACAGTGGGATGTAAATCAGCGATGTGGATGGAGATGCTGTGCTGCACTGGGGGGACTTGGCTTGCGCCAGCCTGGAGCAGAGCTCAGCCATCGGCACCCAAATCACTCCCACAGGAGCCTTTAGGGCAAAGAAACCCTCCAGGAACAGCCAAGCTCCTCAATCAGCCCTTTCCCTGATCCAGGGCAGCGATGGGCACAGCCACCCCCAGCAATCCCATCCCACTGCTTCCAGTACAAACCAATACTGAGTGCTGCTGACCTGCTCCAAGCAATGCTACAGCAAGAGGGATCGCACTGAACCTGGGGCAGGGAACCCCAAACAAGAACCTCACCAAGAACAGGACCAGTAACACCAGTAAGAGCTGCACGGTGAGACACACCACGTGCCAAATCGCTCTCCATTTACACATCACAGTCCTGCAAATCCTGCTTTACATTAACAGCAGCATCATTTCCAGAGCCTGCACCATGGACCATTTCCCCCCCAAACCAGATTAAACCAGAGCCCCAAGGAACAGCTCCCTCACTTATTTTTAGCCATGTGTGCCTGCTGCGCCAGCCATCACGTTATCAAGTAACTATGGGGAGCCAGATGACTGCCAGCAGAGAGGCACCCAGAGCCTCTGTTATCTCGGGGTTTAATGGACTGGCAGCTCCAGGGATGTATTTGCTTTCAGCCTTTAAAAAGGAACAGCAGCTTTGCTTTGTGCCACACAAGTCTGCCAAGTTTCCAGCTTTCCCTGATACTGATTCCAGTGCCCAGCAGGCAGAGAGCACCTCAAAAGAGGGCACAGCCTGCTCAGCCTGAGAAAGCAGCGAGGAAAGAGAACATCACATGGAACAGCAAATGCCTGTTATGGTTTCCACAAGTACTTGGCAAGAAGAAAACGTTGCTGCTCAAACTGACCTTGTTTGGGTGACTTCTGCACGAGGGCACTGATGGGTTGCACTCTGGTTCGCCACCACGTGCGCCTGCTTGCTGCTGTGGTCAGTAAGGACGGGCTCAAGCTGGGTAAAAGCATGCTTGTATTGGAGTTCTTTCTGTTAATCATAGATTGAGGTCGGAAGGGACCTTGGAGACCATCTGGCCCAAGCACCAGCTCAAAGCTGGGCTCAGCCTCCCTGAGCCAGGCTCAGGGCCTTCTCCAGGTGAGCTCTGTGAGCATCTCCAAGGACGGAGATCCCACCACCGCTCCTGTCCCCATCCCAGGGGTGATCCCTCTGGACTGCAAAGGGATATTTCCTTACACCCAGTGGAGCATCCCCTCCTGCCATCTGCTTTTTGCCTTTCCCTTCACACCTTCAAGAAGAAGGTGGCTCCATCTTCTCCACCACTCCTGTTGGACAGCAGCATCTTCAGGAGGGAGATTTATCACTGTGTGATGGAGCATCCCATAGCATCCTTCTCATCACCTGCCTGCCAAAGCCAAGGAAGCCCCTTTTGCTTTTCCACCTGTCCCATGGGTTCACAGTTCTATCCCTCCAGGAAGCTCAATGAGCTCCTCAAACCAGAAGGGTCACTGGAAAACTGCTGCTGATCCCCTTGTTTCTTCACTAGAAGAGCAGCCTGTGTTTGGGGATCAAGTGCCATCAGCCATTTTTCCTCCTCTGTTTTCCAACACTCCAGCCTCAGATCAATAAATTAATTCAAAATCATTTAATGAACACTTCAGCTTCTAATTCGTTTTCCATTAAGCATAAATCCGATTCCTTCCGAACGCTGAGCCTTTGGGAAAATGAGGAACTATTCAAGACACTTCCCTGATGTTACTTAGGCAGAAAACGACATTAGACTGCAAATACTGATAATGCCAATCTCTTTGTAAAGATGGCTTTCAGAGCCCCAAAACATGTTCCATTGGAGTTCATCCTCTGCTTTCTCTCCTCACTGATGTGCCCTGGGGCCCATCCCCGAGCACTTCACTTCAGCCTTTAATAACCACTGTAAAATGAGTTCTTGCCAAAGGCCTGCAGCTGATGTGGTTTTTATTGGGATCCAAACTAGCGCTTATCAGGGGAACAGCTCCTGCATTACCTGTCATGGGCCTGTAAAACACACCTGGACTTCAACCCAGGCCTTGTAACAGCTTTTCGTGCCTGTTTGCATCATGGTGACTCTCCCTTTGGTCTGGAACATGAAGCAGACGCCAGGAAACACGAAGAGCCTATTCCAGGCTATTTTAAGTTTAAAAACAAGAAATACCACAGCTTCCCCAGCGACTCCAGGAGCCAAGATCTGCCCAAATGCACAGCTTTGTTGGGAACATCAAAATCCCTCCCGTCCTTGTGAAGTCATTTTAATCAGAAGCCACAGTCCTGAATTGCTTTTCTCCAGCCCCAAAGCCGCATCCATCCCTGGTCCTGCCTGCGTACCCAGCGAGCATCCCCTTGTGCTAACAGGGAGGGTGCATCTCCCCCTCTCTACCATGCTTTCCAACACATCTCACGCTCCAGCTGCGTGGTCCTTCAGGGAACCTGCAATCCCAGCACCCTGAAGTGTGTCCCTCTGTCCCCAAACAAGAGGTACCTTTCAGAGCTGTGTCTTTGTTCCATTTAAGCAGCAGCTTGTGCTGGGAGCAGGAGAGAGGGAAACAGATGCTTTTACCTCGTGGCTTGCATAATGCATTTCTCCTTCCATTTACTGTCTAACGTGGTGTGCTTGGCCTAAAAAGAGCAAACAACCTTGCAGTAATATTTACAAGCTAATTAGGCAGAGCATTGACTCGAACATCACTGGAATACCAGAAAAGAGCCGGTTGGGTTGGGAGGGCTTTAGCTGATTTTCCTTGGAAATTAGAACTGGAACAGACTGCTGGAAGCACTCGGATCCTCTCCAATGTACAGAATGGCTGCTGAGAGAGGCAGGGAAACAGCATCTTCCTTCTCCACAAAAGCACAGGATTTGCATTTCTGTGCCATGGGATTAGAGGAAAAATTAAAGCTATGCTTGAAAGCAATAACAATTGCCTTTCATTTCTATTTAGCAGCGCTCCTGTGTACAAGCCCCAGCCAAAACATCGTCTCCAGTAACAACACATTTTCCAGTACATAAAACTCTGTGCACCAAGAGGGGGAAAACACAACATGGAATCGCTTGCTCCTGCCACGCATCACTTCCTAGCATTGCTGTTCCCTGCCTTGCCAGTGCTCAGCTCTGCACCCCTGAGCCTCAGCACACCATGACCTGTCCCAGGAATGAGGGATGGAGGCACCTCTGCATCCCTGAGATCTCTCCTATTTCCATAGCATCATCCCTGTTGCCATCAAGGATATCCATCACCCAGCAGCTTGTTTTTGGAGTGCTGGTCCCCCGTCACTCAGGAATTATAGATCAAGCCGGCAAAGTCACAGGGAAATAGTCTGTTTGCTGCTCCGAAATTCAAGGAGAAAATGGGATTTCACTCACTTTAGATCATGGGGCTTGCTTATTCCAAACCTCCTCTCCTCCCATTCAGCTGCCAAACAAGAGCAGGGAGCCATCAGCAGCATCACAACCATCACCCCATGGCCTGCATAGCACCGGGAAGTGCTTTGAGGATCCCAAGGAGAGGATTTCAGCCCCACTTCAGACCAGCACTCAGATGGTGCCCACAGAGAAGTGGCTTTCAAAGCCTCACAACTCCAACCATGGATTTAAACAGTGCCTGGCCACGAAGCACGCTCCAGACAAACAGAGATACTCCAGGGGATGCTCTCACTCCCATTAACCCAGGAGCTGCTCGTGTGTTTGTGTTCAATCCTCACGGAGCAGGGAACGCCGCTGCAGCAGCAGCCCTGTGCAGAAGGCAGCAGGGAAGCTGCATTCAAACACAGCTGCCACCAACCTGTCTGCTTCTGCTGCAAATGAACTACCTTCAGCAAAACAGTGCTTCTTTGGGATGAAACAAGGAGAGCGTGGAAGGGCAGGCTGCTCAGGCCACTGGTCCCTGGGTCACAGCAGTACCTGTGGTGGGGGCACGCATGGCTCTGTGCAAAATACAGCAGCAGTTTATGGCTCTCTTGCCTGGAATTCCTGCCCTGCCAACCTCCTCTCCTCCCCAGGATGAGCAGGATCAAGGCAAAGGAAGGAGCTGGGAAAAGGTTTGGATTTCAGAGAAAGAGGGAATACAGAAAGCATGGGGGCAGCTCCAGAAAGCAGGGTTTACAACCCCCTGCCACAACACCCGTATTGCACCTCACCCATGGTGAGGTGCATACTTCATGGTATTGATTTCTTTCAACAGGCAACTGCCCGAGCCAAGAGCCTGATTCCCATCAGGATCTTCCCAGCAGCAGCACTAACAAACACCAGCAAAGAGAAGGTATGCATGAGCCCACTGCATGCGGGGTGAGATGAAGGCACAGCTCATCCCTGCTAGAACTTGCTCTTCCTCCAAAGCCAACATTTACCAGCCTGGGATTTCGCTGGTGCCAACGTGCAGCTCCCCCACCACATCCCTTTGGTCCTACTCAGGAGCTATGCAGATGCCAGGGTTCAGACTCCACATTGTTTGGGAGCATTGAGTGATGGAGGCTCTTTAGACCCAGCTCTGGCTCCAAGCTGGGTCCTTGGTCGCATCCGGCAAGGCTTAAGCACAGCAGGGACAGGACAGAGCTCCCCATGGACCCTGCTGACACTGGAGAGCAGCAGGAGCCTCTCCTGCCCATGCTGCAGAGGCTGCTCAGCAGCATCACAGCCTTCGCAAATGGCTTCTGTGCACAAGCTGCAGGCCTGCTGCTTTTCCTGCCCCTGCCTCATTCCTTATCCAGGCTCTAGATGTCTTGTCTGCAAAATAAAAGACACATTAAAGCACGAAAAAATCCAACCCCAAATTCCATTCCAGATGGTCTGGAGGAAAACTCACATAATCTGCCAAAAAAGCCAGGATTTTGCTTTCTCAGTCCTGAATTTCAAGCTCAGAAAGGTCAGACCTCCCATCGAGACAACAGCAGCGCACTCGTTTCCCATCGCTGGATTCACAGGGTTTGTAATTCCAGCTCATTACAGAAACCCAAGACTCCTGTGCTCTTGTCAAATCCACCCCTGCTCCTGCTTTCTGCCACTTCACAAGCAGAGACCACATACACAAGGCAGGCAGGGAGGCTGGGGATGCACAGGGCACTCCACAATAGCTGGGTTCTGCCCCAGCTTCATGGCTGCACCATCAGAGCCTGTCCTTTCACCGCCCCAGGCTTCCCTTGCCCCACCTGAAGAAGCAGACGCATCCCAAGGAGCTGCATAGCTGATGTCTAAGTGATGCCAAGATCTTTGGTGCAGAACAAGTCATGTGCTCTCTTGAACTTCAGTTACTGAATCATGCTTGTGGTGGACGGAGCCCCTTGGGACATATCTTGGCCAGCTCAGCCCAGTCCCACCCGTCTGCTTCCAGCATCACTGCCCCAGCACCCCCCTTGTCTGCTGTCTGGATCTGAAGTTCCCTTTGGCACATGAACAAACCTGAGCCATCCTGGTCTGTGTAAGGGTAACCGCCTGGGGACACAGCTAGATGGATGGATGCCTTCTCACACTCCCTTTGTGAGATTCAGAGTATCCTTCACATCTCTCCCAACTGGAAATACTCAATTTCAGGTGGTCCATCTGCATCCCTGGATCCTCCAAACACTTCTGGCATGGAGACCTGAATCAGAAATGACACCTCACAAGCACCAAACACTCCTTTCGTCATCATCTCCCAAAGCTGGAAGGCCAGGCCCCAGCTCGTGTACATTGTAGGGAACAGCTCCTACAAGGTGTTTACAACATCCCTGTTAGACATGAGACTAGTTACTGGTCCAGCTTCAGCAGCCACTGTGTTATTTTGACCTCCTGTACATCACTTACCTGCTGCCTCCTCCCTGAGCCCCAGAACAGCCCTAACAGGGCACAGCCTGGTCTCAGCAACTGGGAGATGGGAATTCTATGAGCACCTGCTATGTGAGGAACTGTGTCTGTATTCCCTGAGCATACCACACACTGGGCACTGGTCGTTTCCTTCTTAACTCTTCTTCACACGAGAGGTGAACAAGAAAAGACCAAAGAGAAGCTGAAATGAATAGCACAGCCCAGTTCTGAAGCCAGCTTCATGCTTTGAGGGCAAGCAAAGGCTTAGAAGTGACTTCTGCACACTGGAGGGAAGCAGATCAAAGGGGTGCTGGCTGGAAGGAGCCCCTTTAGAGCTGGTGTGGTGTAATCCCAGAGCACACTGCCCAACATGCTGCGGCAGCAAGGGCTGAGCAGCTCCTTGTGGCAGATCCTTCAGGAAGACAGGCTGGAAACAAGGGATGCTCTTCACTGGCCCTGCAGAACACATCCTGCGCACCCCAGAGGATCCTGATCTCTGGTGTTAAAGCACTCATAAAGATTGCAAAGCTCTGCTCTAATTGTTTATCCTGGTGAAATACAGGGAAAATGAACTTCTAGGAATCAAAGGCTAATGCGTGAAGCAGATGTGCAGCACTGATAAGGCAAAGCAAGGCTTTCAGAAACCAAATTTCAGCTTTGCACAGATTAGACATTAAAATTAACTCAATTTCATGCCCTGTGCAAATCTTTACCAGCTGTCAGCTCCGTAGTCACTAAAGACTAAATGCAATAACTAAACAAGAACAAAATCACAGCGAAGATTGGGTTCTGCAGGAGCCTGCTTGTTACCAGGGCTGTGCTCTGGGATGCTGGGGAGCCTGCCCAGGCACAAACCCCAGGTGTCACCAGAAGCATCACCCGAACGTCTGCAAGTAAAGTAACTAGAGAAGAGGCTAATTTCCTATGAGGCTGCTGCTTACTCCTGACCTCCAGGGAGCTGCTGGTGTCTGTGCTGTCTCTGATTCAGTAGCTGGACCTAGGAGTGATGCAGCCATCCCGCAGCAGAGGCCAAGTGATCATGCAGCAAAGGGCCACCTCCACCCTTAAGCTCTTCTCCGCCATGCTCACCCTGGATGTAGGACACAGATCATCAGCCATAATGCGGACCAAGGAGAAACATTCCTGCTTCCTTCTAGAGTAAAAAGCCCCTGAATGCTGATCCCCACCAAAGTAGAGAGCATCATCCGGGCTTGTGCTGCATCCACTGAGCAGCACCAGGGCCTGAGCTATGGCTCCATCCCCAGAGGAGCTGCATTGAATGATGCCCCAGCACTGGCCATTTACCAAGACATTCAGCTCCACTGCAGGAGCTCCACAGGGCTCTTAGCTCTTGTCTGAAGCAATTTGCCATGTCTGGGAGAAATGGCAGTCTTATAATTGCTGCCAGAATGGACAGAGCTCTGAGAAAAGGGAGGCACACGTGCATGCCCTACTTGCATTGGATTCCTGGGGATAGGGACAAGGGGAACGGCTTTAACCTGCCAGAGGGGAGACTGAGATGAGCTCTTAGGCAGAAGCTCTTCCCTGTGAGGGTGCTGAGGCACTGGCACAGGGTGCCCAGGGAAGCTGTGGCTGCCCCATCCCTGGCAGTGCTCAAGGACACAGAGGCTTGGAGCAAGCTGCTCCAGTGGAAGGGGTCCTTTAGGTTTTCCAGGCCCAGCATCACCCCTTTTGGGAGCAGGCAGCCAGCAGACAGGGCTCAGGGCAAGGCCAAAGCAGTGCCCAGTGTCTGCAGGGAAGAGCTGTGTGAGCATGGCACAAGTGAGGAGCTCCCATGCGATGCCGAGCGCTTGCGAAAGCTGCTGCCCTACATACAGCACAGAGAGATTTACACAGAGCTCCTGTTCCAGCCCTGCCTCTTCCTGTTGAAATCCATAAAGCCCAGTGAAGGAGATTTAACATTCCATTTCTGAAGTAATTAAATCCAGGCATATAAAGTGAAATGTTTAACAACTCTGAGCCTTGCAGAGCGCTGGAGGAACCTGAGAGAGCTGGAGATATGCTGCTGGTAGTAAATAGGAGCTGTGCTCTGCACTGTTAATGGCAGGGGGGAAAGGGGAGCCTGGGTTTTGATTTGGAGGAACTTCAGAGAACACATCTTATTTAGCAACATGCTGGAAAATGAATAGAGATCCATGGGAAGGTGGGAACTGCACATGTTCTTTCTCCGTGTTTCCAGAGGGACCCTCAGGCCAGCATCTGAACTCTGCTGAGAGCAGCACAGGGTGCTTACCACATCCATTTCTCCCAACCACTGCCTTAGTTCTGAGTGTAGGTGCTGAGACTGCACAGGGCTCCCAAGGCCAGGTCTCCACACCCCTGTCACCAACCACAGAGCTGCTTTATCACTTACAAAGGCTCATCCACCTGCTTTGGTTTGTGCTTTTAACAACACAAACAGAGCCATTTGAATACCCCAACTGTGGAGCCTCATGTTCCTGCGGGATGCACCACCTTCAGCCCAGTCTGTCCCACCACTGCATTGGCAAGAAGGGCCAAGCTGCAGCTTCACCCTCCCAGATCTCTGTGGAACAACCGATAGCTGTCAGTACGTTAGCAGGGGCGAGCCGAGACTCTTCCAGGGTAAAATAGCTCCTTTTGTAATCTGCTCCTACAACACACCTACCCCTCTTGCCTGTTTTAGCCCTCCTCATCCTACATTACAAGCCCTGGAGACAGCAGGCGTGCAGAGCTGGAGCTATTAAATGCTGCATCTCTCAAACGTGCCCCCAGGAACGTGCCTGGGGGAGGAGAGGGCTCTGCTGCAGCACAGGCACTTCCCCATCCCACACTCATCCCATGGCTCCCCATGTACCTGGAAAGCACCAGGAGGATGTTTGCATCCCTGGGCCATGTCCTGAGCAGGTTTCTGTGCTCCCTAGGGTTTGGTCAGCGGGCAGGGAAGCTGCGTGCAGTGTGCCATGAGGATGGGCAGCAGGAGCATGCGCCTACAGAGGTTTTGACACTAAATCTCTCTTACCGAGCATCACTTTTGTTGCATTTTTTGCTGACTTCCCCCTTCACTCAGCCAGAGGCGCAGGGAGATAACAGCAAGAGATTAAGTGAGCATCTTGCCCCAGAAGCCCTCATTATCCCAGGAGGTCTCCAGTGCCTCCTGGAATCAATTAAATGGGCTGCGGTTGGGGATACCTGGCACTCCACAGGATCACAACCCAGAGAGGAGACTGTGGCAGGCAATTTCCCTTCTCTTATTGACATGCAAATCATCGCCGCGGCAGCTCCCGGGTTTAATATATCTCCAGATTGCCTGGCGTGGAGTCACATTAGTCAAGTGTATGTGGCAGTTAGTCCAGAGCGACTGGGTAATAAAAGAGTCAGCATTTGCACCTCTGCTTCAAGGACGGGCTGGAGAGGAGCCTGCAGCCACTCCTCAGCTCTCTCTCAGGTCCCCTCTGAGGCACGGAGCTTGGGGACCGCAAGTAGATGTCCCTAAGTGAGGTTTGGTGTTAGAAACAGACCGAAGGAGTGTCCTTTGGGAACATATACATCTACACCCCTCAGCTTCCATAGAGCTGATGTTATTTACTCCAACATCCAGCAAGAATAGGACCTGCCATAAGAAACTATGCCCTCTCCCATAAAATATATTCCCAAGATTTCTCAGGTTTGCTCCCCATTCCCCTTAGCTACCATCACCATGGCTGAAAACTCACCATGAATACTAGAAGGAGGTGTTCCAAGTGCTGCTATTTCCACCTCTGCCCCTGCCTAGGGTCAGAACCAGCCCTGTAGCATTCCCTGCTCCCTTTGGATGGGTGTTTCTGTGCCCCCCTGCCTCCCAGACCTTCACACAGCTGATTGGAAAACCATGCTGACCACAAGTGCAACCATGAAAGAGCTTTTCTTCCACACAGATGGAACTCTTTATTGCCTTCTTCCCTCTAAATTGCCTTCCTCATTATACCCAGACACGACAGAGTGGCTTTGCTTGGGACCTGCTGGTTGAAACAGGCTCACTGGTCTGATGCTACAAAGCTCTGTCCCGCTCAGCTGCAGCATTGCTTTGAAAGTCCTCCTTTTGTCCATTTATTCCCAGTGCCACAAACCAATCTGTCTGAGACGCTCATCCCTCATTATTTGCTAAGAGGGCCAACAAAGCCCTCTGTTCTGCACCATCTTGGTGCTTTGTTTTCAGCTTTCTATTCAGTCCTTGTTTGTGCTTCTCAATGTCTGTACTAAGAGCTTTAAACCGTTCCCTTAGCCTTGAACCCCCTGCTCAGAGCCTCTGCAGCTAGCAGGAGTAATCACCACGGTGCAATCCAGCTCTTGCTTTTTGCTTACCCTTCTGTTTTCCCTTTAATTAAAAATCCCTTTGGTCTTGCACTTGGATCCGGGACGTGGTTTCCATTTGCCTTGCAAAGAGCCCAGCCAAGAATGTCAAACCCATTTGTCACAACCACCTTGCTTTGACCTGGGTGGCAGCTTTACCAGCAGGCGTTTGAGCTCTTCCTTGCCCATCTGTTCATCCATTCAAATCCCCACACTTCAACGGGCAATTCTGCCTCTGCAGCCAGTGGCTTCTCCTGACAACCAGACCCTCGTACAGACAGGGAGCCTTTCCCATGTCCTCAAGCAGAGCAGTGCCACCTCATTGCCTCAGTTTAACCCAGCTACGCAAGGGCAACCAGTTGCCAGCAAGCCCTGATGGCACTGCCCAAGAGCATGGGAAATAGATGGTACACGGGTAGGAGGGGGGACAAAAAAGACCCCCAGCACAGCAAGGTTCATGGAGACAAAGTGCTCCCTCTCTGCAGCACAACCAGACCAGAGGCTGGAAGGGGAAGGCAGACAAGTCCTCCCTTTTGCTTAACACATGGCCCAGGAAAGCCAGAGAGAAAGGACCATAATATTGCTGCCTTATCACATCTCCTCAGGTAAGATGATCACAGCATCAGCCCAGCAGCAGACACAGGCTCCAGGGAGACGCGAGGGCTGTGCCGCAGCCACAGCTACACCTCATCAGTGTCACATCCCCCGAGCCTCCGCAGCGCACTGACAGGCGATTTGTATCCCGGTACAAACAGTTCCAAAAGGAAGCCAGAGCCTTACTCAACCTCGAAATATGTTCTCCGTGACGGCTGCCTCTAAAGGCAGAAGGTGTAAAAGGTCCAGGGGGGAGGCTGCAGCGCACTGGAGGCTTCCATGGAGCAGTGAAATGAATCAGTGCCATCTACCGGCTGCGGGGACCTGGTCGCTTCCCATTCCCTGGATTCGGCCTCAGAACTGAAGGGATAAAAACCAGCCTCTTACACATTGTCTCCTATGGCACAGCTATAATGCTTCCAGCATCCCTCTGCCATTCCATAGCCAACAGCACCATTCAAATTCCCCTTAGAGGTTAAGGGTCCAGACAGGAGCCCATTGGCACAACCATGGACCAAGCCATGTCCAACCATGCCGAGGGAGCACCAACCTGAGGCTACACCTTCAGCCTTTCCAGCCTTACTCTTTCCTACTATCTATATCAGAATCTCCCTTTGCTGCCCCCGACAAAATCATAACTGTGATGTATGATGCACTGGCAATGGCAACCCTTGAGCTGGCCCAGATCTGTGCTGAGGAAGAGCTGTGGCAGTGCCAAATAGCAGCAGCACTGCCAGCATTCCCAAGGGATGGCATGGCATCCTCAGCTTCCAACAAAGAACTGCTCCAAGGCTACCACAAGGCATCAAAGCCAGGAGGAGATGCCAGGTATTCCCAGCTATCCCTGTTGTTCCCCTCTGCTGGATCATAGTTAATTGGGGAACAGACTGTCAATGTGCTTGTCACCATTAATAAAAGGCAAATGCATCATTGCTCTATAATTCTCCCATAATTGGGCTGAGATGCCAGATCACTGAAGAAAAGAGGCACTTTTGGACACTTCCTCCTGGAGGGCAGTTAAATCTGCTCATCCTCCAATGCTGTTTATCCTCCAAACTCACCTCTCAGCATTCCCAGGCTCTGGGAGGCTCCACATGGCTGGAGGATGTGGCAATGTTGCACTGCAGGGATTGCCCTGGGCTCCGTTGGCTGAGGTGCTGCCAGGCTCTTTCTGGGGACGCTGGTTGAGCTGAGCTCACCAAGCTGCTTGTGTCAACCCCAGTCAAATCAACGGACATCTGCGAGAGCTGCCTTTGCCATTGGAAACAAGCAAGTCTGACCCTGGAAACCTCCTTGTAATGCAGCACCTTTTGGGAAGGAAGCAGTTCAGTGTAGGAGCAGCACAAAGCTGACCTGGGTCAGGATGCTGTGCACAGGCAGCATCGATCCTGTGGGGCAGCATGCCCCATGCTATGCTCTTACCAGTAGTGTGTTCCTTGATTGTTGGGCACAAAGGCAGCTCCCGTCAACACTGCCCCATGGCCCCTTCTCCACTGTCAGCAGCTACAAAGGATGGTTTGAGTTGCCAGGACCTATTCCTAACAAACCAGGTTGTTTTACCTGCAGTGATGATTTGCTGTGGAAGCATCCAGTAGAAAACTGTTGTATCTTCTCGCTAGATACTGAAATCTGAAAGAGCTGCCTTCATTTCCCTAAATCTTCTCTTTTCCTTAAGCTTTTTTTCTCTCACCATTCTATTCCTGGTCTCCAGGGGAGCTCCAGGCTGCAGAGCACCAGCATCCATTACTTACTGACACATTCTGCTCCCTTACACCAGGGAAAGAGAGGATTTTACCAAAGGCCACAGATACACGCAGTAAGAACACTATTCCCACACGGAAAAGGTGCTTTTACCACGCGAACAAACAAGCTGCGAGCACCGAGAAGGGTTTGCTGCTCCCCCCAACAGCCCTGCCAGTATTAGCTCCCGGCCATCCCCAACCTTTCGATAGGGAAGGCTGCAACAACCGAGGAGCTGCGACCTCCCGGCCCCGCTCCCTCAAGCGGCCCAGCCCGCCTGGGCCCCCCGGACCCGGCCCAAGCCCCGGGACCCCTGCCCCGGCTTGAGAGGAGCCCAGCGGAGCGCTCCGTTGCACCGCAACCGTCACCTAGCAACCGGCAGGCGGACGCCCAGCCCTAATATAGCGCGTGTGCCCGCCCTCTAGCCATATGATTGGTTGTTCTCATGTGATTGATGTGTCCGCTCGCCAATTGTCATCCTCCACGAGCCTCTCCCACGCTGGGGGCGTGGCGTTACGCGGAAGACGCTGCAGGAAGTGGAGGGCAGGAAGAAGGGAGGAACGTAGAAGAGTGTCAGCTACGAGGACCAATAGAAGAGGACCAGAGGGGCGGTGCAGCCAATGGTAGGGTGCGGAGGGCGGGGCTTGGGTGGGTGGGGCTACTTTAGCCGCCGGTGGAGGTGATGGGGGACCCGGCCTGAGGTGAGACGAAGCATGGGGCCGGAGGATGAGGGGGACCGGAGGATGGGGTCATGGGGAGAGACCCCAGCACCGGGAAGGGGTTCGGGTCCCACGGAGGAGGGTGAAAAGGGCCGCTGTGCAGGATAGAGCCCCTTCCTTCTTCAGAGCCCGGTGCCCACCCTGCTTGTGGGTGTCAGCATCGCCTCATGCTGCTGCGGTAAAGCGTAGATCCCGTAAGGATCTGTGTTATGGTGGATACTGCCCTGCCTTGCTTGGAGGTGCAGGGAGAGGGGGATAACCCCAACGGCTGTGACACAGCCCCAGGGGTACATGGTCAAGTCCGACATCTCCCGGCCCATGATAGCTCCGGCTAAAGCTGTTTCTGTCCCCAGGTGGGAGCGGAGGGGAAGGAGATGCTCCTCAGGTCTGCGCTGGAAGCAGGATGAACCTGGTGTCTATGGCAACAGATCCCAAGCTGCAATGGGTAACGCTATGGGCCCGTATCAGGTGGGCAGCAGTGCTCGGGCTGCTCCTGGGCTTGCTTGTGCTGCTGCTGCTGCCGGCTGTGGAGGACCAGTGCGACGCAGTGCTCCAGGGGCTCTCCTTCCTGAAGGGTAAACTGGGCGCTGGCTCCTCGGGGCTCACCCGGTACACGGGGCACACCACAGAGCTCAGCGTGGCCTCCAACGGGCTGGAGCTGCTGGTGCTGAAAGGCAAAGCCTCCCCAGGTAAGAGCATCCCAGGGGATAGAGCTGCTCTATAGGGACAACCACTATAGATCCACCCCCACACCCTGTAATGGTAACAAATGCTCAGTGCCCAACTGTGAATTAACATTGGCTGTGAACAGCCCAGAGGCCAGCACTGGCCTTCTCTTGGTGCTGCTTTGCCTCTCCAAAGGTTTTCCTCATGCTTTTAGTACTATTAAGTTCTATGAAGGTAATTGGGACACCTGGTTATTGGTTTAATACACAGTTACCTGGGATATAGAGCCTTAATCCTGACATCCTGGTAGTCATAGAAGAGCTTTTCTAGCAATGATAGGCTATGGTTGTTGTCTTCATTGCCTGGGATACTAATCTGGGGAACATTCAGAGCAATAATAACGATTCCAACACTGTATCTCTGCCCACATTAAAGCTGGGAAGATGTTTGATAGTCAGTGAAGAAGCAGAAGCGCTGTCAGCAGCTGTGGGCTGTGCTTCTAGCAGGAAAATGGGCATTAATTATCACCAGGAGTGTATTTGAGGCTCTGTGTCCTCCCATACACAGCAGCCTGGTGGCCAAAGCGAGTTCTGCTGGGATGCAACAGGCCTGTGGTGCTGACAGATCCTGCCACGCTTCCTGCTGGGAACAGCTCGGCTGCCACGCTGTGGCATAAATAAGCCTATGTGCTTGTAGCCTAGCAAAGGCTGCAGTGCAAGTTCTCCTTTGGACTGGTTGAGTTTCCAGTACCCTCACTACCCTGTTATCTGGCTGCTCTTGTTGCATTGCAGAGGTGAAGTTGGAAGCTAGAGCAGCTCTGAACCAAGCCCTGGAAATGAAGCGCCAAGGCAAGCGGGAGAAAGCCCACAAACTCTTTATGTATGCCCTCAAAATGGACCCTGATTACGTGGATGCCCTGACTGAGTTTGGGGTCTTTTCTGAAGAGGAAAAAGACATTATTCAAGCCGATTACTTGTACTCCAAAGCACTCACCATTTCCCCCTTCAACGAGAAGGCTTTGATCCATCGGGACCGGACGCTGCCTTTGGTGGAAGAGATTGACCAGAGGTATTTCAGCATTATTGACAGCAAGGTGAAGAAGGTGATGGCAATTCCCAAAGGCAATTCCGCCCTGCGCAGGGTGATGGAGGAGTCCTACTACCACCACATCTACCACACGGTTGCTATTGAAGGCAACACTCTGACACTGGCCGAAATACGGCACATCATTGAGACCAGATACGCCGTTCCTGGGAAGAGCTTAGTGGAGCAGAACGAGGTGATCGGGATGCATGCAGCTCTCAAGTATGTCAACACCACCCTGGTATCCCGGATCGGCTCAGTCACCACCAGTGACATCCTGGAGATCCACCGGAGGGTGCTGGGCTATGCTGACCCGCTGGAGGCAGGGCGCTTCAGGACTACTCATGTGTTTGTAGGGCATCACATCCCACCACATCCCCGGGATGTTGAGAAGCAGATGGAGGAGTTCGTGCAGTGGCTGAACTCAGAAGATGCCATGAGCTTGCACCCTGTGGAATTCGCTGCTTTAGCCCACTACAAGTTGGTTTATATCCATCCATTTACAGATGGCAACGGGAGGACCTCACGCCTGCTGATGAACCTCATCCTCATGCAGGCGGGTTACCCCCCCATCACCATCCGCAAGGAGCAACGGGCTGAGTATTATCACGTCCTGGAAGTGGCCAACGAGGGCGATGTGAGGCCTTTCATACGCTTCATTGCAAAGTGTACTGAGACAACCCTGGACATGCTGCTCATTGCCACCACAGAGTACTCTGTGGGCTTACCCGAGGCAGATGGCAGCACTGCTGGATGCAAACAAACCATCCCCATCAAGACTTGAGGGTTGTGGACATTGCGGAGCCGCTGAACACCAAGGCACTCGGTATTCCTGCTGGGAAATAACTGGACAGGAGGTGCCACTCTTTAGCATTTTGTTTATTTGAAGTGTCTTACATTGGGTTAAATTAATATAATTTATTTATATACATTATGCCAAGCTGAATTATGAACTGTTGATGGTGACTGTGTACTAGAACTTGCTTGTGCTACTGGAAGGAGGTGGGGAGAGGGATTTGAGGGGCTCCACAAGCTGAAGTGTAATTTACTTTCTCCTTAAGTTTAAGCTTTGAGCAGCTGCTCCAGTCACAGCCCTTCACCTGGGTTACCTGCAGTTGCCTTTGTACAAGTGGGAAGCATTTGGTTTAGGATTACAGATGACGTGGCTGGCCCAAGAGAAGAAATGCTGACTTACATCACTGAGCTGCGAGGTGCTCCAAGGCCTTGCCTCAGCCCCACGTCACCCAGCAGGATCCCTGGGGACTGCAGGGATCTGTATCCTTACACGTTTCACTTCAGGGCTTGGAAAGAGCTTCTACAAAGCTGCAGGCAGAAGTTGTTCTACACAACCTCTGTCAGTGGTACTGATCTGGTGAGAACGGCCATAGGAAAGTTGCCAAAAACCTGAAGTTCCTTCAATCTGCACAATTAGTTACTAGTAATAACGCTACCTATGACAAACGCATCAAGAACACACGAGGCCTCCCTGTGCTGCAGTGGCAGTTCATGCAGGTCCTGGAAGCTGCTGTGCAGAACCAAGAAGTGCACTTTAAGGTGAAAGCACCCAGAGCCTGACCCAGAACAGCTCCTTCCACCCCTGCCTGCCAGTGCTGCAGCAGCACACCTGATCCCAACACCCTTAAGTTCAGAACCCTTGGGATTCAATCCAGTTTAGAGAGCAGCTAAGCTCAACCCCTTCACCAAACAGCATAAGACTGTCCCTGGCCAGTGTTAGGCTTCATCCCTTCTCGCTTCCTTCCCTGCAAGGTAGCCAGGATGCATCTTTTACAAGCAGACAAGAGACTGGGAGTTACCTGTCTGCTACAGCACCGCTCCATGCTTATGTACCAGCTACTGCTGCCAGGGAAAGCAAACAATAAATGAATGAGGAAGGCTGCTCTGTCCTTACAAAGTATGCTTATTTTTGTAGTGTAAGTATGCTTATTTTTGAGTACAAACAGAATCTGCACTTTAGAGCTCTGGGGGGGGGGAGGAAATGCAATGTTATTTTAGTAACAGATTATTAAACTATTTTAATATTAAAGTCTTTTGTTTGGAACAGGCTCAAGGTGCTTTTCTGCTGCTCTGAACTAAGGAGAGGGCACAGCTCAGCTTGTGGAGTAGCAACTGAGAGGGTGCATACATCCTGGCTCCACAGCCACATACACCTGTGGCTTGGGGTGTAACAGAGGGCTCTGAAGCATGAAGTCCAGCCCCAGCAGCTAAAGGAAACTGAATTCCTCACTAAGGTTATGTACATACCTGCCCTGAGGGCAAGGCCAGCCTTAGCATCCCCACCCAAAGCTTTGTACCAAAGTGTTATTAAGCCTGTCTAAGCTGTATCAGCAGTCCAGAGCTGGCTGGCAGGCCCAAGCTGCTCTGTCACCACCACTGCCACCCTTCCCTGGCTCCAAGCTACAAAGCAGACTCATCGATCCAAAGTAAAGCCAAGTTAAAGCAGCACAGAACATAAGCACTGAAAATAAGTGTTTATTTGCAGCAGTGCTCATGTCGTACAAGTGAACTTGGCGCTGAGGCCCCCCTCACATTCAACCCCTGCCTGTGCTGACTTCCAGAGCCAGCAGCCGGTTCAGTTGCCAAGCAGCAATATTTCTACCCAAGCTCATGTACCAGACTGAAGTGGTTTCAGGATATTCATATGAGATGGAGCGAGCTATTTAGGGTAAAGTAAGTGACACTGTGTCTCTCAGTGCACCTAAGGCGAGGTACATCAGCATTACCCACCTGCCAGAGGATAAGTGCAATTCCAACACACCCACATTTAAACAAAAGCAACAGTATTTATAGAAAACCTTTGAGAACTTGAGTTTAATAAACCAGGATAGGTCAGCTTGCACTTCACATTTGTACAAAACCATACAGAAACCACCTGCAAAAGACTTGATGAACTAGCTAGCAAAAACAACCCCAAAGAAAGAAAATGGTCCTTAGCAACAGCACATACAGCTTATGGGAAACAAAAGTTACCAGCTCTAAGGATTACCTCCTGACACTTCAAATCATGAATCTGAATCTCTTTTACAAATACACAATATAAAAAACAGGGCAACTGGAACAGAACATTAACTGAAGACAGAGAGATGTGTATTGGTGTATATACATATACACACATGTATAGAAACTCTCTCAATACTAAAATAGGCCATTGTGGTGAAGTTACGAGCGTCTGCATCTCACGCTTAATGGAAGGAGATGAATGTCCCTGCGAGTGTGTGTTTGGGTGGCAAATGGGTTTGTTGGGGCAGAGAGAATGACTGCAATCACAATCGGAGCTGACCAGTGGAGCCTGACAAGGTTAGCACTAAGCTTTCATATTGCATCTCGTTCCTTAACGAAAGAGACATCCGTAAAGCATGCCTGAAACTCGACGTGGCATCCGACCGGTACAGGAAACACTTCCCCCCTCGTTACCCTCAATATGAGGAATCATATAATGCCATTTTACCAGAACATAGCATAAACTCTTTGCTCTTACAAACAGAGGAAAAAAACCCTGGATTTGTACCATCCTACACTGGTCTCGATGAATGCAGGAGTCCAGAACAGTATTTACAAGTGATTGTGACTGGCGTTCTCTCCTTGCTAGCGTAAGGACACAACATGGCTTCCATAAAGGCATTTCACATTTTACCAGACCCGCTGATTGCAGACTGTTTGCTCACTTTTTCAGTAGCAACTTGGCAAAGTCAGCATTGGACATCTTCTTCGGCTCCTCGGGGGGGGCGGAGGAAGCTGCTGGTGAGTTCTGGACCATCCCGTTCTCAGCCTTAGCCACAGGATTACTCTGGCGCTGCAATGCACGAGGCACCATGGAAAGCTGTGTCCTTCCCTTCCCTCGCCTGCAGAGCAAAAACGGACATTTAAAGGAATCCCAGTGCTCTTGGAAGGTACTGGTTTAACTTGGGGAAACAAAAAGGACTTTGTTCGCTATGAGGAACACTCTTCAATACTACTCCCGTCTATGGTTTCAGTAACAAGTAGTGCAAAGCTTTCAATGGGTGCACTTTGAAACAGGATACCCAAGTTCTGGCATAAAACAACAGCCCAGCAGTCCCCAGAAACTGAATGCAACACAACACTAAGCAATGGGAGTGCTCTGGAAGATGGAAGAGCAACCAGAATGCTCACTGTGAGCAATGGCTGGTTTTCCAGGACAAGAGGACGTGGAGGTCAGTAGTACTAAGGCACAAACATGTCCAACGCTTGATACTCTCGGTCACAACAGACCTGTTTCTATTGATAAGGAATAAAAATCCACTTTCCCCCATCAATCCAGTTTTTGATGGTTCAGCACCTTTTAAATGTTCTTCCCTATTCCAGATTAAATGCCTGTATTCTAGCATGTAAAGACACCCAGTGTTCCCCTTCCCAGCATTGCCAAGAAGCATCCCCTATACTTACGCCCCATAGACTTGGCGCGGCACCGCAAACTGGGAGGCTCTGCCTGCCTCAGCCTTGTCCGGCAGCTTTCGGAGGGGGGGGTTACTGATCATCACCTTGATGACGTGCTCCTTGACTGTCAGGCCATCCATTTTCAGCACAGCCTGCGAGGCCTGAGCTTCGTTTTCATATTCCACATAGGCCAGGCCCTAAATAAAAGAAGTGCCCTACATTAGGTTTAGTGCTGCTTTCTCTGCATTTGGTCAAGCACACCTAAACGTGGCTGAAAGCCCAGTGCTCTTTAGCTAAAAGAATTCTTACCTACAACCTACACTTACTGACTCTCATTCATGAGTTTCACAGGAAATGAATCCGATTATAACATCCAAAGCACTTTTATTTGTGGTCTAGACAGAATCCCAACTCAAACTAAGCTCAGAATGTGGCCTGCAAGGCTCAGGGTACACACGGGAGCACTTGTGACAAGGTGTGCACACAACAGGAACTGTACTCGAGATATTGCCAAGAGCTAGAAAACACCTGAAAGAATACATGCACACTGTCACCAGCACAGCACCCACTAGAAGTGCCCAACACAGACATGGCTGAGGTGGAGTTTTGGCAGAGCAGTCACTGGGTTAGAGTCTCTTATTTCACAAGGACTCATTTATCCCTGTCAGAGAGACATGGCTCATTTCTCACTGGCAAATCTATTGCTGTAGCAGATGGTATGGACAATAGCCTCAAGGCACTGAAGGAGGAAGGAGGGGAATCAGTCACACCACGTGAATCTAGCCAGTTACTTAAAAACAAGTTCTTTGCAGGCTTACAAATAACTTAGTAATGACTAAAGACTTCACAACAAGATTCTTTCTGAAGGATTTATTGCATTAGGAAAGCATTAAGGAAGCCTACCTTGGGTTTGCCTGCTCGGTTGGTGACCAGTCGAATGTCTTTGACATTCCCATGGGCTTTACATACATCTTCCAGCTCTTCCTTAGTGCAGGAAAATGGCAAACCAGATATAAACAGTTTGTGTTTCTCCAGGGTAGTGCTGTACCTGAACACCTGAGGAAAGGAGGCGGCTGTTAGTTTGCAAACCAAAGACTCCAATGATTTCAATCACACCGCCAAGAAGTAATGCCAATCCTGATTTATGGCAAAGTAACATAAGAACCAAGAACTCCCAGGAAATAGTTTTACTGCCAAATTATCACATTACTATTCCCAACCAGGACAACATGAGTTCATCACACACAACAGTCCCACTGTTTAACCTATTACTTGAAAGAACAGGAGTCTACCTTGAAGTCTGGATGCTTGTTCTTGTCAACACACGGAGAAACAAACATGGGTCTCCCCTCCACAGCTTGACGATCCAAGGCAAGGGCCTGGAGAGCAGATTTCTCCTCCTTGAATTCCACATAGCAATAGCCTCGGAACGTCCCCTTGTTGCTGAACACAGGACGGATTTCTGCCACCTCCCCACAGCTCTCAAAGAGCTCTTTGAGCTTCACCTCCGGCTCTGCCATGTTGTAGGAGAGGTTGCTGACAAAGACAGTTACTTTATCCTTACTGCTGTCATGTAAGACCTTGGGGATGTCCTTTCGACTGGTGGTTGCCTTTTCCTTCTGGTTTGCTGGGCGATCTGGCTTCTCAGGTCCGCTTCTCCCAAACAGTCCCATTTCTACTTCCATGTCTTCTTCAAGTAAACCATCACCCTTGTGTCTCTTGCTGGGCTGCTCTGCTGATGAATAACATTGAAAGCCTTACTAATAAGAATTACACCATTTCATTCACCATTGCAATTAAGCTGTCCTCTGTTACCACTGTGGAGTCTGAAAATGGCATAAAATACAGTCACAGGTCTCACAGACACAGAGACCTCCCTCAGGTTTTTAGTAATGAGTAACAAGAGGTTATTTGACCATTAGATGAAAGCAAAAAGAATACTTTCCTTTTCTCTGTCAGTTGCAACTACTGACTCACAACATTCCACTTCATCTAATGGGGTTACTGTTATTTAAGTAAGAAGAAAACCTAAAATGAAGAAGTCCCGGGGCAGTAACCTCTTAAAATCTTCTGTTACCACCTTCCAAGAGGCTGCTCCAATACTGAATAATCCAATTTAGACACATGCCTCGGCAGCGTATGAGTCAGGAAAATGACTTTAAGGTACAGTATTTCTCTGAAATAATAAAACCTAAACCTCTGTAAGTCCTTATAAACATGTACTTCTGTTGCTCAGAAACCATTTAGCCTTGCTGTCATTTCATTCCCACAACAAAGACCTCCCAGGGGAAAGAGACCCTGAACAGACAGCAGCTCTGTGAAGATACCAGCGATGCTACTTCCTCAGCTGCCTCTAACAGAAGCAGGACAGCCAATAACCCCGTTGCCAAAGGTCTGAAGTTTGAATTTATCTTTGTTACCTTCTTCCTCTTGTCCCCATTCACCCTCGTCGTCATCATCTGCTTTGCGTTTGTCCCCAGTCCTGGCTTTTTTAGCCTTTTTGGACGCTTTCTTTTCTGCCCGAGCCTGCTTTCGCTGTTCAGCTTTCTCCTCCTCCAGCTTTGCCAGAGCAGCTTCTTTCTCAGCAGCCTACAAACACACAAGACATTGTTTTTTCCAGTGACTGCAAAGCATTTTCCAGAGTACTCAACCTGGAGGGTTTCTCCTCAGCTCCATTAAACACAGCACTAACAGCATCAACATTTAAAGCACATCAACTGTTTGCTCTCAGAGCTTCCCTGAAGCGCACGTTGCTCTTGTAGCTATCCAAGGGTCAAAAGGTGAAAGACTAAAAAGCATCACAAGAGGTGAACCATAGTTTTTAAACTACAACCAATAGCTCTGAGGCTTTAAGACAGTTCAGGTCTATCCATGGGAACCAGCATTAGAGATCTGATATTCAGACAAGCATGATCTTAATACAGGTATTCCCTATAAATTGCTCAGGTAGCTCAGAAAGTTCTGACCTTTGCTCTTTGTTCATTGACTCGAGCTAGTCTGTTCTCTGTTTTCTGAACAGCTGCATCCCAGTCTTCCAGAGTTCCTAATGGATAGGGGAAAAAAAAGGCCTTGTATTTAGCTTTCCCTTAATTTGAAAATACAGTTCTGGGAAAATAAGAGTCAATGAGTTCATGGAATTTGTTCTTAATATTAACCATCACATAAGAAAATTCTAACCATAATGAGGAGCCTTCAAAGAAAAGAAAACCCAAGCAGAGCAGAAATCTCTCATGTATAATCTGAGACTCCCAGAAGGCATGGAAAAACCCAGCAGGCTGCAAGTCAGGCCAGAAAAGAAGAAAAAGAAAGAGGAGAGCCGCTTGTGTATACTACAGTAGTGAAAAGAAAGGAAGCCTTCACCAGAACAAAGCACTGGATCAAAATGCACTCTCATTGTACAGAAACCAGATGATGCACAGTTACAGTTACCTTCTATTCTCTCCAGTGTGAGCAACACCTCACAGACGTGCTCTGGATAGTCACTGGTGCATTGCACAGCTCGATGCAAGGCCTTCCTGCAGTGCTGAGTATCGCCGTGAGCTCTGCAGGAGGAAAACACCACAGCAATCGTCCACATGCAGATCACAAGACAGGACAGTTAACTACTCTACACAAGTGTTTTCCTCCCTTCTATGCATTACTGCTGTAATAGGTATAAAATATACTGCAGAGCTGCTGCAAGAAACATAAAAGCATATATAAACCCATGTGAAGTATCCAAGTCTTGTCTTACACAGATGAGCAAACTCAAATGCTAATGAACTCCCCCAGCCAGCCAAGCTCTTACCTTTCTAGGTTATAATACTCCAGCCACATGTTAGCGTATTTGGCATTTCCTTTAGTCATAATGTTGTCCCAGAGTTCTCTGGCTTTCTGCATGTTGTTACACAAGCGAGCCTGAAACACAACATCCAAAGCATTCAGTATGACTGCAGATTATTTATTCAGCACCATTTCCCCCCTGCCTTCCCTCCACCCCCAGGGCAAGAAAACACTACAGATAGAAGGGGAAAGTCATTCATTCAGATCCAGACACGCACTGTCCAGGAGGATTGCAATGCTTGAGACTTTGCAATCCACCCCATGTGTTATGTCCCAAGGCGTTCCAGCACAAAGGTAACAGGACTTATCCTGATCTGTATGGGTCTGTGGCAAAACAAGGAAATAAAACATCCACTCACAGGCAGCGATTGCACCAGCACATTGATATCTGTACTAGTTTGAATCTAGTTGGTGTAGACAGCAGTAAATTAGGCAGGATTCCAGGCAGCTTACAGCCTCAGTGCTCAGTTCCAAGCCAGTGTGGCCAGCCCGCTAACCAAGGTACTCACACACTTCTGTATCACACTGCAGTCACAGCAGCATCAACACACTAACAGTCCTGACAACCTTCTCAAAGAGAATGCCATTTCCTTCCTGGGATATTGCTCTTCAAGCGTGAAACTACACTATGTGCTTGATCAGTCCAGACACAGGAGTGGAAGAAGAGAGATTTAGTCACTGAAGTAACCCGACAAAATGCCAAAGTACAAGAGGATTGCATTCTGTGGTTGGAACCTTAAAAGGACCCATTTCCTCTAGCCTAGCAATTTAAATAGAGCAAATGGAAACCTCACCTCAATTCTTGCCCAGTTCTGCATGATGGTGCAGGATGGATCACCGCTTTCACTGAATCCTGGGAATAAAACCAAGAACTGTTTGTGAAGGGCTCGTGGAAATAAGAGTGTTTATTAAACAACTTCTACATTGTACACGAGATGTGTATCTGCAGCCTTCTTAAAGGGTTTGAGACACTTGAGGACAAGTTAAACATCATGGGAAGAACTGGTCTTATTAAAATTATCCTTGAACAAGAGAAAACAATGTATTGGATGATTTTACTTACTCTCCTCTACTTCTTGTTTCAAATACTCCACAGCACGGGCAAATGCGGACCGCAGCTCTTCCAGTTCCTTACTTGAGTCTTTAGAAAGAAAGAAAATCCAATTATTTTAAGGCAATTCTTTCATCTCCCACCACTAAAACCTCTTCCTTATCACCCACAATGATTTTAAAGGGGAACCTACATGTTAGCACTTCAGTAAAACTCACTAAATGCATAATAAAAAGACATCAAGCACCTAAAACATAAGGGAGGGCATTTTTGCAGCAGCACAATCTATTCTGTCAGCGAGAGCTGCTTTAAACTCACTGAGTTCATATATTTTAGAGACACTGACTGGCCAGAAAACAGGTTTTGTGAAAGATGTTAAACTACCAAAATGCTGTTACACTCTTTAACAATACCAGGGAGATACCCAGGAAAGAGATTAAACATTTATTCACACCTATAGCATAGGTACCTTGTGTAAAATCCACCCTTCTTCTCAGGTAATCAAGATACGCCTGCCAGATTTCTACGTAGTCCGTTGCCTGAATAAAACCTGCATTCAGAGCTTTTTCAAACATTTCTGAAAGAAAATGAGGGAAAAAAACATACAAACACATTTATTTTCCAGATATTGACAAAATTAGCAAGCTACAGTATATAGCAAAGAAGTCCATACACCTTGTGTATCTGGAGACAGGAAAATACAGTAACTCCTGCATATGGTAAATGGGGTTTAGGAAGGAGATTTACAAGCCAGTTTGCATGAACATTACTGAAGTTGTTCATTGCTTGCTCAGAAGTGAAGCTGCTCAACAGCAGCAGCTCTGCCCTGGGAACATGATGCTGCACATTTCATCAGCTTTAAGACTGCTGCAGCAGGATGAAAACAAATCCTACAGTGTTCTGCAAGCCACCATCTGTCAGGCGTTATTCAGGGTGCAGAAAGCAGTTCTGTACTGGAGAGAAGGTTTGCTGAGATGGCCTTTCTTTACCAGAAATAATGCTGTGATCAACTCTGTGCCTCTCCATCGCCAGAAGATACCTAATCCACAGCCCCACCGTCCAGGGACAGTTCCTAACAGCGCGGTCATGAGCGGACAAGACCAATTCCTTCACCTTCAGCTGCCGGTCCTGGAATAAGCATACAACAAAGTTTTATGTTCCTGTTAGCCAGAGAGACCATCCATGGCAAAATAACAGCTTATGAAGAGCAACACCTTAAAAAAGTACTTTTACATTTGAAAAGCTAAGACAGGGTGGGTATTTTAAAGTCTGTACTCCTACAATCTCAGTGAAGACCTTCAAATCAGAAAGGATATGGTCAGGAACAACGCAACCAACAACTCTATGCCACGTCAGTCTGCAATACCTAACCATCTGCTTTAACCAAGCCAGTTAGGTGTTTTCTGCCAATGAGATAAATATAACAAAGGCACCGAGTAAATTTCCAACTGCTCTTCATACATTAAGAGGAGAGGAAAGGATACAAAACAAGGAGGGTGTACACATAGCCTGCTTCAGCCACCCACAACCTGCTGTCTCAAGCTGGTAAGATAGAGACAACAGGGCAACTCAGCCTAGATAAGCCTCCTGTAGCAAGTTACACTGATCTCCTAACAGCCCAACCTTCTGTCCATATGTAAAGCCCTGCCTCTCAAGTTCAGCATGATTCTCAAACTGCATTAGCCAGCTCACATGTAAGTAAGACTGAACATCTGGGTTTGCTTCAGCTTCTTGGTAAATTAGGTTTTGTTCTTCACCATAAACCATTCACGAGCACTGGCATCCCTCAAACAAGCACTGTCATTAATTTAACTGGGCCACCCCAGTGACCCAGACAGCACTGAACTGCTTTGCCTACACGAGCTGGAAGAAAAGGAGGGACATCCTCAGAAGCAATGCCTCTGGATGAGGAGCTACCAAAGACAATGCCAGGGCTCACAGTAAAGCTGGCGGCACTCAGTCAACTCTGCCATATAGCACAAACCTCGATGCAAACAACCAGTTTAATTATGCACAGCTAAAGGAGAAAGAGCAAATGCTCAGTCGAGCAATAAACACACCACTGGAAACAGGAAGAAACCAAAGGCAAGGTGAAAACCAGTCTTTAACTCCTTCAGGAACTAAGGGACAGCTATTAAGATTAAAATAAAACCAAACCCCACACACAGGGAAATGAAACTGGAAACATCTGGGGTTTTGTTCCTTACCAAATACTGATTGTAACGTGCCCAGAGGTCTGGCACAAGGCAGTTCTCAGCCAAAGCCCTCTCGTAGATCAACTGAATGCGAGCTGGATCACCTGCTTTCATTTCAAAATCAATGTAAGCTTGATATTCTGCCAGCTTCGGTGTTTCAGCACCCAGCTAGAAAACAAAGAGGGAATCAAAAAATTAAACTCTAAACCAAAGCACAATTCAAGCAACTCAATTGTTACTCAGAGTAGGGTGCTCCTGGGCACCTTAGGGTGGCCTGACACAAGCAATAGCTTCAACAGTTTCCAGTCTACCCAGTTGTGAGGCTTCTTGTCTCACACTGCTCACAGCTGAAAGCCGCCTGGCAACATGCAGCTGCTCTGTGACTAGAACAATACAATTCAGGGAATAAAGGGAATCATCCCCATGCAATTAAGTCTTTGCTTTTAAAGATAAGTGCAAGTAAAACATTACCAGTGCCTCTTCGTAGGGTTTGCACTTCTCCAGTTGTTGGAGAGCCTTCTTGTAGTTCTTTATTGTTGTTTCTGGGATTGGATCTTCTGACCACTCCTCATACTCAGCATAAGAAGTCTCCATATCTATAGAACAGGCATGAAAACCCATCAACAATGCACTTATTGGAGTAAATAATCAGATTTCAACCTATGTTTGACGCATATTTGTATTTTTATTTATGCTTTCAATCTTGACTGTCACACTACTGAACACTTACAGGGTTCAGGTAGCTCACCTTACACAGTGCACCACAACCAGAACCGCAGGGCAAGATATATTAAAGCTATGGATTTGGATTTAGAAAATCAAAGTGGCAAGATTCTCCCAAGGCTGTAAAGAAAGCAACCCAAATTCTTTCAATGTGCAAATGAAGAAGTACTTAACTTTCTCCTACAAGCAAATCAGCAAGAGACTTAAGGAGTTTAAAGTATGAATTAGAGAGGGCACGATACCAACAATCCAGCTGCCAGTGTGTACTGCTCCCAACAGAGGTTCTTGTGTAGTGATTACCACAGCTGAATTCCTCGTTCCTATGTTTTATACTCACTGCTCATACTTTAAACAGCCCCAAATAACATACTGAAGAAACACAGAAGCTGTTTCAATGCGTAAGGGTATTTCTGAACAAAAGGGATCTGTGCATCATTCCAGAGGCCCTAAAGACAGGCCAATGCCATTGATTAAAGAATATACAAGCCTTACAGCCGGAGTCTGTGTGGCTCTACCGAAAGAACAAGCAGGACTAAAGCCTGGATGAGTGTAACAGCTTCTCCACCCCACCTCAGCAGCTCTTACCCAACAGTGGGATCCCCAGCTGGCGCCTGAACAGCGTGTGGATCTTCTCAAGCTGGCTGCAGAGCATCTGCTGCTGCTCAGGAGATGGAACACTGCCAGGAGCTGGCTACAAACAAAAGGACTGAAGTTTAATCAGTTCTCTCAAGCTGGAGCTGGTGAATATTATGGGGTATTGGTTATGAGTTGGGGGATCAGGGCTCTAAATGACTTGATTCTTGAAGAACACACACAGCCACCCTATTGTGGGCAAGGACATCTTTTAACTTCCCTCTCTTACATGGTGAAGTACAAACCCATAAATTTCACATTCTGGTCATCTTGAAAAGGCACCTTTTACAGAGAGAGCAGAACCAAACATTCCAGGGATAACACACTATCAGTCAAAGGTCCCAAACAGCGTGAAATAAGGAACAAGTTAAAAGCTGAAGGAGGACAGAGTCTGGAAGCATAAACATGGCCATGTGCAGAAATACTGACTGGCAGCAACACTGTTTAATAATGAAGCTGCTCAGTTCAGAGTGCTTCCTGCCAGTTCAAGCCAAAGCAGCCGAGTGGCACTTTGCTTCTGGATATGAGATTTTATGATCTTATTTAAACACAAATCCGTTACTCAACTAAACAACACTCTTCCCAGACCAAAAGGTCAGTTTCCACAAGCTGAAGAGAAACCGACTGTGTGCCATGACAGCCTCTTTTCTCAGTGGAGACTGATGAGGGGGCTCAAGCCCGCTTCAGACACCACAGCACAGCTTGTTTCTTGCAGGAGCCTGGCCTTACCTGTGCTGTTTCCAGGATGGCATTCTCAAACTCCCGGTATGCTTCCCACAGCGCCGTGCCCTTCGTCACATGCAGCCCCACCGCAGTCAGTGCCCTCTCAAAGATGGAGCGAACTCTCTCGATTCCTCCTTCCTGGCCAATGCCACCAATTGAATACTGGGCATATTCCAACCAAATTTCAGGACCTCAACAAAGTCAGGAGAAACAAAACAAGAGTTTTCTTCTGAAGAAGGTCATTCTTGCAGTTGCTACCAACACCTACTGACTCCCATATGCCACGTCTGGTGCACAAGCTGCATCAGGGAGAGATGAATCAAAATCCCCCCAACAGCAACTTCGCTCTTCTTGAGCACATTGTGCAGAGCTGGGACTAACAACTCAGATTAAAGTAGGCCCTTATTCTGTTTCCAGACTTCAGCACTCACCTGTTCAGCAACTGCTTTAGCTGCATAACCATGAAGGTGAGAGGGAGGTGCTACAACAGCATCAGCTGTCTGGCACCTCTCCTGCCTATGCAGTCCTTGGGTAAACCAGGTTCAGGTACTCCCAAGTAGAGACCATCCAACCAAGAGACATTGGGATTGCACATCTCAGGCTCCAGAAGAGGACCTTCCAACCCTGAAGGGCAATCCATAGAGCAGAGCCAGAGGATATCACCTGTCAGCTCTTCATTCCTTCTCCCTGAAGGATCACCAACATTCTGTGAGGCCAGCTCTGTGAGTGCTCTGATGTGACATTTTGTCTGCAATGGCTTTACCTGGATGGTACCAAGCCCCCTCTGTTTATTCAGGCTTCATGTTTTCACCACAATCCCCAAAGAGCACACAGTTACTCAGTGCTTTAAGGTGCATGTTTTAAGCTCCTGAAAAAGGGATGAGACACCACAAACTCCCCTGGCTTTTGCCAGGGATGATCAGAGCTGGTCCCACAGCATGGCTTCAAGAACACTGGCTCCCAGAGGGTAATTACAAGCTGCTCTGAAAGAGCTGTCACGTAGTGGAAGTGGCAGTAAAGACCCTGCCAACCAACACAGAGACAGGAGTAGAAATGAACCTTTTGAAAGCATTCACTTTCCTCAAAGAAAGAGCTAAAGAATTCCTAATGGGTAGCAGAGAAAGCATTGCTCGAGTGAGAGTAACACCTGCAGCTTTGAGAGATGAGAGGAGTGCAGAATATGCATTTAAAGCCTTTTACAGCAATGGCTCAGAAGACTTTAAGGACTGCAGTGGCACTTAAAGCATTGCCCTTGACTGGCCTTAACTCCGACGCTTCATAAAAGCTGAGCATCACGTCACACTGGTTTTGATCCAATTTCTGCATTATAACAGAAGGAAAAAGCTTTCCTAGGAAAAGGAAGCCCTAACCTGAAGGCAACGGGTACATTTGATAGCATCTCATCAACTTACAGATGTAGTCTTTCACAGCTCTCTCAAAGAGTTCGTAAACCTTCTCTCGCTCCGAGCTTTCAGAAGCCATTTTTATCTCATCCTTCAACCAGTCCAGCCAGATCTCTGAAAGGAAGAAGTTCAGGATCCATCACCAGCGGTCGGAAAGAACAGCTTCAATCCATTTGTTGAGGTTTTTCTTACAAGAGTTTAGAGTAACAGAGTTAAAAATGAAGAGACAGCCGAGGCAGAGCACAACTTCAGCCTTCACAACTCCTCACGATCCATCTAAAAGGGGAGTTTGGTAGAGACCTTTTCAAATTGGCACTCAACAAGCACACTCCCATTTGAAGAGGGCAGAAGTTGCAAGCAGCAACTTATCAGCATTTGGGCTGCGTAGCAGCAACCCGAGAGGCAGCCAGAGACACAACTTTGACAAGAAACAGTCAATGGCTTCAGAGGCTGCGAGCTTCCACCTGCACAGAAGGAAACCTTCCCTTGCCAAGGCTAAAAGCACCGGGGCAGAGCAGCCTCTGCAATATTTACCCTGTCTCATATAGGAGTAAAGAAACACCCACTTCAAGGCCCACCCACCACCACTGTGTTCTCTTTGCTGCTTGACTGCAATCTCACTTGCGGCAGGAGTCTGTCTGGGCTCGAGTCACACTGAGTGAGGGGAGCTGGGTCAGTGCTGCCATCCCACTGGGTGCTACCCCTTCAGCAGAGGCAGCACAGGCAGATGTCCGCCTGTCCCCGGGCTACAGCAGGTCCCATCCTGGCAGGAGCACCCAGCAAACAGGCAGAGCAGAGGCTGGAGTAGATGGGCACAAACACCCTCCCTCCAGTCCCACACCACTGCAGCAGCTTCTGGCAGGGGACAGGGCAGGCGCAGGTGGCAAAAGCTCAGATCCCTGCAATAGACCCATTACCATTCATCTGCCAGAGGCCCAGCTCAATGCTGGTCATTAACACCATCCAAAGAGTCCTAAATCTGCTCTTTTAGGTTTCTCCGGGCTGAAACAACGTTGTTGAAGCCTGACACTAACATACACGATCTCAGTACTGAAACAGCATTGTACACAGACAATGCTAAAGCTGCATCGGGTGCAACATGAGCAGAAAGCGCTCTGTACCTTCAGTAAGTGGGAAGAGCTCACTCATCTTCTGCCGAGCTCTTCGGAGCTTCACCAGCTCTCCCTCCTGGCGGAGCAGCTTTATCAGGTCCAAGTGACAGTTATAGTCAAAGGCATTGATGGAGAGCTTTGGGACAAGAGGAAATACAACGTTAAAAGCACTGCTGAGTGATGGCTGCGGCAAATAAACCTGGAAACGCTCAGAACAGAACCTCACACTCTCTTTTGGGGAGCACAGACCTCATCATGGCTGTGTAACACCTCCCTACACAGAGCTGCACCAAACTCCGCTGCTGCTTGCAGGATGCTTTCAGGTCGCAAGCAGGCATTTATAACAAGCCCTTCCCACTTTAACAGAGCTTTAAAGTTAACCTTGAGCTCAGCTTATGGCGCTAAGCTCTAAAGGTTAGTGCTCAGCAGCGCAAATGCCAGCACCTGGAGCAGCTTCCAGCAGCAGAAACAAACCCATGAGTGGAAAACTTCAAAAAGCATCTTCCAACAGTGCTAAATGTGCGTTAGTTTCTTTAAGGATGATAAAGCAAACAAAAGGCAGCTAGCTAAGGGGCTCTCAATGAGCACAAGCTGCCCACGCGGGCTCTCCTCTCCGGCTTCCCTTTAGAAACAGCCCCAAAGCGCTCAGATTCTACTTCCAACTCCTTGCGAATCCCCAGCACCAATCCACAGCAGCAGCCGCGGGTTCACCCCCGTTACGGCCGCACTGCCCCAGCGGGCAGCCACAAAGAGAAGCCCCCGCAGGGTCCCCAGGAGGGGAGGCCGAGAACCGAGCCCTCCCCACAGCGCCCGGACGGACGCGTCTCTCGTAGCAACGCGGGCGGGTGAGGAGCGCCGGGCCCGGCCCAGCGCCGCTTTCCCCGGGGTGAGGGCTGGGCCCGGGCGGAGGCCGCGCTGCTGCCGCCGCCCCCTCCCCACGCCGCCGCCGGCCCCACCTGCTCCTCCAGTCGCTGGATCTCGGCCTCGTTCTCCTTCTCCTCGTCTTCGCCATCTCCGGACGAGTCCGAGTCTCCCTCATCCTCCGAGTCCCCGCCCGACTCGGGGTCACCCTCCGGCAGCCGCTTCTCCTCCTCCTCTTCAGCCACCACCGCCTCAGCTCCCGCCGCCGCCATCTTATGCAGCTCGCTCCGCAGCCAGCCGCGCTCCGCCGTGCGACGGGGCTGTCTTCGCCGCGCCTGCCCCGCCGCCGCGCTCCGCCACCTGGCGAGCGCTACGAGAAGAGGTCCGAACCTCCTCCCGCACCATCCTGAGCTCGGCTGCGCACCGGGGCCGCGCTGCAGCGAGCACCGAGGGGGCCGGATCCCTAATCTTCCCGGCTGGGGCGCAGGCAGCGCTGAGGCATCTCAGGGCCTGGCCGTCAAGGGGCCTCCGTGAAGGTCTGAAGCGTGCGCGGCGCCGCTCTTCCGCCATATTGAGCGTGGCCGCCGCGGATGGACCACATGGACCGGATGTTGCGATAGAAACAGTGTCGCGATAACAAACGGTGTCGCGACTGCAAACTGAGTTTATCGCTCGCTTTAGCGGCAGCGTAAAGCTCTGTCCGTTGTTAGGAGGTTTTTAGCATTCGGCTCCTTTTCACCGCGCTAGGGGCGAAGCTGCGGCAGCGCTAGGCCTGAGCCCGCAGCGGGGAGTGGGAGGCGTGGCCACAGCGCGGGGGGCGTGGCCTCCGCGTGCGAGGCTATATAAGGGAGCGGCGGGGCCCCGCCCCTTCCAGGTGCAAGATGGCGGCGCTGAGGGCGGCGGGGGTGGCGCTGCTGCGGCCGGGCCGCGGGGCGGAGGCGGCTTCCAGGCTGGGCTACCACAAGAAGGTGAGGGCCGAGGGGCCAGGAGAGCCCCGGGGGGGATGTACGGGGACCCAGGGATAGGCCGTTGGCTGACGCGGTGTCCCCGCAGGTGGTGGATCACTACGAGAACCCGCGCAATGTCGGCTCCCTCGACCGCAACGCCAAGAACGTGGGCACCGGCCTGGTGGGCGCCCCGGCGTGTGGAGATGTCATGAAGCTGCAGGTTGGCACCGGGGACGGGGGTACCAAGGGCTGGTGTGAGGTCCAGATCCCTGCCCTATCCCCTTAGGGGTGCAGCGAGACCTTTCCTTCCTCTCCCCTCCCTGCCCTCAAACGTCCCCTGGGGCCCTGCAGGCCCCGTCCGGCTCCCGAGGGCGCTGGGTCAGTGAGGGGCGCTCTGGGGTGCCCAGTGGTGCTGAGCCAGATGCTGAGGTACCATCAACTCTCTCACAGGTGGAAGTGGATGAGAACGGGAGGATCGTGGACGCCCGTTTCAAAACCTTCGGTTGTGGCTCAGCGATTGCATCGAGTTCACTGGCAACGGAGTGGGTCAAAGGGAAAACGGTGAGGAAGTGCCTGCTGGAGGCAGGGGTGACAGCAGGGAAAGCCTTTGGAGCTGCCTATGTTGGGACTGTAGGAAACAGCAGCTGGGAATCCCAGTACTGACTGCATGCAGTAGCTTAGGAAGCAGGGCCTGGTGACCCTGTCAGTGCTCTGACTTCTAGGGCAATGGTTGCCTTTTCCAAGAATATCCATTAATCTGCAGGGAAGTCAGTTGTGTCTTACGCAACAAGAGAAAACACACTGATTGCAGGCTCTGGGAGAAAGTGTAATTACGGATCATCTTTAGAGCTCCCTTTCTGCCAGACAAGAAATTCACTTCCCTGTTATGATAGAAGATAAAGAGACTTAAAGCTGCCCATCTGGCACCAGTCTGACACTGGTGTGCTTTGGTTCATTCCCACCACTGGGATGTCCCTTGATTCCAGCATACTTACTGGTACTTGAGATCTTTTCAAGGCCAGGTTGAACGAAGGCTTGGGTGAGATGGTTTAGTGTGAGGTGCCATGGGCAGGGGGTTAGAACTGGGTGATCTTAAGGTCCTTTCCAAGCCTAACTATTCTGTGATTCTATAATCTTCCCTGTGGATTCTGTTGCCTTTGAGGTGGTAAAGCATTAAAGCACCCTAAGCAAATGCCTTTGAAGCTGGTGGTGTAGCTCACATGGCCACTGACCACTCACTAATTGCATTTCAGGTTGATGAAGCATTGAAAATCAAGAACACGGATATTGCTAAAGAGCTCTGCCTTCCTCCTGTCAAACTGCACTGCTCCAGTAAGTAAAGGCCCAACTGGTGAGGGTTCAAACACCAGCTTGAGTTTGACAGGGAGACTGTGGGAATAGAACAAAGGCTTCTGAATGTGGCCATGAGGGAAACTTGTGTTGTGGTTTTGTGTCTGGTGGAGTCTGCAGCTCAGCAGACTGATAGGGAATGTTCACATTCGAACTGGTGCTGCCTGCAGTGCTGTTCTTACAGCATGTTTTGTTTGAAATGCCTTTCTCTTGTCCTTGAAATACTTGTTTTGGTTTTAGTGCTGGCTGAAGACGCCATCAGGGCTGCCTTGGCCGACTACAAGTTGAAGCAGGATTCGAGCGAAGTGTCAGAGAAGAAAGCAAACAACACCTAAACTGACTGTGAAGCTTGTTCTCGTTCCACTTCCTTTTGCAGTGCAATTACTTTAGATTAGTAGGATCCTGCTCACTACTAAAGCAAGCTGTAAGATACGCACAACTTACGCACAACGTGTCGCTCGAGGTGTGTGGATGGCCACTCATGCTCCCACGATGGAGGTGGGTGGTTCAGCAGCCTCTCTCCTGTCACGACTCCCTCTAGGGGAGTGAAGAAGGCTGCTCACCGGTGGCTTCACCCTGGAGGGAGCTTCCTCCTGTTCTGGTACTCGAAGGGCTGCACTTTTTCCTTTGGAAGATGTAGAGTTTTGCCTAATATTTCACTGGAGTTAATGGGAAACGTTGCCTTGGTCTTATTCTTTCTGTAAGAAGTGGAGGTCTGTATGTACAAACACGGGGTTGTTCACCTGCCACAGGCTACAGCGGTGTCTGAGTTTCATTTCACAATCTCAGTGCAAATTCCTCTTCTCTGGGCTGGCAGGGTCGGTCTGTGCCCTCTGGGAATGCCTTTACAATCCCTGCTGAGCTGTCCCCCTGCGAGCACACAGCGTTTCAAAGGTAAAGGTTTTGTGGGTTAAACCCTGCTCTGCAGCTCCGTGTGCTCAGCTCTGCCTTCTGGTGGTGGCTGCTCCTGTTCCAGAGGAGCATTCCCAAAACAAACAGAAAACACATTTCAGAACTTTACCTGCTCTGGAGGTTTTAAACCACCCAAAAACCAGTGGCTTAAGGCCAGGTTGGACACAGGGGGTGGAGCAAGCTCCTCTAATGGAAGGTGTCCCCCCCCATAGCAGGGGATAGAGCTGGATGAGCTTCAAGGTCCCTTCAACCCAAACCAGGCTGGAATTCGATGAAATCTCAGTTAAAAACATGAAAAACCACATTTAATAACGAGCAGCTCATTCTGCTGTCTCTGTCCACAGCTTTGTTTCAATGCAGCACAGGCCAGGGGCTGTTGCTGCTGTGCTTTGTCTCTCACAAACCTGTCCTTACCTCAGTTCAGCACCATCCCATGCGCCGGCCACTGGCCTTGTCTCCTGCAGCAGGAATGTGCCTCATTCCCTGGGAACGGTCCTGTGGTTTTCCAGTTCAAAACCAAAAAAATTAGGGAAACTTCAGCCACCCACATCCACTTTGGGGCAGAATGAGCTCATTGTGCCTGCGAGAGCCCTGTGACAAAACACAGCCTTCCAAAGGGTTTGTTCTGATGCTGGGACATCGGAGCCATCCCAAACTGCCCTGTGGGATACAGGGACACAGGGATGCTTTGGAAGCAGAAGCCCCTCCACCCCACATTGCCCTCCCTGCTGCAGCCCTGTCCCAGTGCCAAGCACCACAGCTCCCCCACCCTTGGCTGTGGGGCAGGAGATAAGAGTTTCCTGGAATCAGCACGTCAGGGTGCAGATACCATGGGTGATAAGAGCTCATCCCTGGCTCCCAGGGCTTCACCTCACAGCACTGGTGGTGCCTTCCAGGCTCTGGGGGGGCACACATGGACCACAACCGGCTGCATCCCAACACCAGCACGATCCAGGGGGAGCCCTGATGGAGCAGAGGCAGGGACTGCGCCTTGGCCGTGCTGCACAAACACACAGGGGAGGAGAATCTGCGTAGGAAATGTCTTTATTATTAGCTGAAGGGGTTAAGGAGGCAAAGATCCAGCTGGGCTCTGGGCTGTCACAGCGCAGGGGCACTGAAATCGAAGGATGGGTCCTTACCACTAAATCCTCTCCCTTTAGGTGGGCAAGGATGGCCAAGGTCGCCACAGCCACCAGCAAAGCCAGCCCATGGTGAGTCCCTGCCCTGATGTGTGGGGATACAGGGGGAGGTGCACAGAACCTGCCCCCCCCCAGCCATGGTCCTGGCACCTCCATCCGGAGGGATCAGCTCAGGATGCTTCTAAGTAGTAAAATAACATTTAGGAGAGAGCTCAAAGGGGGGAACGAGCTGGAGCTGGTGGGGAGGGGGGAAGCCCCATGGGCAGCCGGAGCAATGGGGCTGAGGGGGAAGCACCAGAGACCCCCAGGGATTTGCCAAGGGGTCAGGCAGGGAGCGGGGGCTTCATCGGGGCTTCCTTGAGCCACCACGTACACACAGAGCAGCAAAGCACCACCATGTCCATCATGTATCCACAGGGATCCAACGAGCGGGCGGCTCCTCGGGATCACCAAGGACTGGGTCCCTGCCCTACTTGCCAGCAGGGGCTGTGGGACCATCCTGGGGTGCATCAGGGGCTCCATCCGTTGCATCCTCAACACACGGGGTTTGGGAAGGGGGCTGCTCATCCCTCATCTTCTTGCCTCCTTCCTCTTCCTCGTTATGGGGTGGGCTCTTCTCCCCCTGGCCCCCATTGGCCAGCGATGCCTTCGGGGGGGATTTGAGGCTCTGGGCTGCAGCGAGGATGTCTGCCTGCAGCTGCTGCCCGCAGTCGAGCTGCTCCTCAGCCCCGGGGGCTTTATCAGGCACCTCACTGAAGGCGCGGGGTCCCCCCACCTTGTCCCGCTCATCCACGTACTTCTTCTTGGGGAAGGAGGAGGGGTAGTACGCAGATGCCTTGTGCTTCTGCCGGACGATGACGGCGGCGCAGATGATGAAGAGGAGGACGAAGGCCAGCGAGCCCACCACCACCACCAGCAGCAGGTACTCCTTGAAGAAGGCCACCAGCCCGTCCAGCATGCCGCGCGGCGTGGAGCTGTTGGTCACCGTGGTCCCCACCACGTCCCCCGCTGTCGGGCCGGTCCCCGGTGTCACATAGAGGGTGGGTGGCACAGCCGAGACCTCCTCACCGTCCCCGCTGCCCCCGGCATCGGGCAGCACCGCGATGTGCCGGGGTGCTGCTGAGTGTGCCGGGGCTGCCACCACCACCACCAGCAGCAGCATCAGCCACGCACCCATTGCCATGTCCCTGGTGCTCCTGCAGTGTCCTGCGGGATGCAGAGGGGAGGGCGACACGTTAACACCCCGATGGAGCAGGGCTCATGGAGCACTCATCCCAAGGGACAAGCATCCAAGCCCCAGCTCCGTTGTTCACCCACCCGGATTCCCTTAGGGAAAGCAGCCCTCCATCCCACCCTGCCTCCGAGCAAGGGGCTGCATTTGTTTTGCAACAGAGCACTACAAAAATAGATGGAAAGCAGCTGAGTTGCATTGCTCAAGCCTGGGGGACGCTGCCAACAGCCGGCTTCAGACGGCGGCCGATTACAGAACTCCTGACACATGGAGGTTTCCAGTGGAAACTCTGACACAGGCGGCGCTGCAGAGGGTGCAAGAGGCATTTCCCAACGGCTCATCCCAACACGGACCGTTACAAACGATTCCCAGATTGAGCGTGGCTAAAAATAGGCTGGTGGCAGTTTGATCCCAGTGATGGGATGGGGCTTGGGATCCTCCAGAGCCGTTGCAAAGGGGCAGATCTGGAGCTGGGGTGCAGTGAGCAGAGGGGGTCCCCTGGCCTGAGGGTCAGGGTGCAGGACAGTTCCATCCCCTCACCATGATGAGGCTGGCTCTGCTCTGTGCACATTGTAGGACATGGGATAAGCGTTTCCCATCCCCACACACAGCCCAAAACAGAGCTGGGCTGAGCCCCCAGCTGGTCTCTGCATCCCGTCGGGGTTTGGAAGTGGGGTACAACCATCCCATGGCCACCATGGCATATTCCCGAGGGACAGCAGTGCGTTCCGGCTGTGCCACGCCACGTAATGCCATTGAGCCATTCCCAAAGCTCCCCCCCTGCTCAGCCCCACAACCCGGTTCCCCAGGACAATGTCCCCAGCCTCAGGCCCCCTAAATCCCAACCACCTCCCGTTTCCCCCCAAACCAACCCCACCAGGAAGGATCCCAGCAATGGGAATCAGCTCCCGGGCTCCTTCCTGGCTGCAGGGTCTGGTTTGCATTAAACCAGAGCAGACGAGCGGCAGCAGTGGCAGGAGGAGCCCCCGGACCCCCCCCGGCTCACCACAGGCTCTGGACTCACTGCAGTTACAGCAGCAGCACCAAGGGATTTGAGGGGCCAGGATGAGCCCCTTCATCCTCCCCCATTGCAGAGAGGGGCCCCTCAGCTGCAAGGGGGTCCCGGGAAGGTGAAGGCAGTAACTTGCCATTAGCAAGATGTTAACAGCCACAGAGCGGCTGCCTAAAGCCCAAATCAGTGCCAAGCACAGGGCCTGTTGCACCCCTCCATCCCCATCCCGTCCTCACGCACCCCCAGCCCCACAGCACATCCCTGCGTTCAGTTTGGCCAGGCACAGGCAATTCCCGCTTCCCTCTGCTCCCAAACCACTCAGGAAATCCACACTTCTCCCATCGCCCAGATACAGAACCCCCCGAACCGAGCCTGAGTGCGCACAGCTCCATCCCGCATCCCGCATCCCAGCGCGGGGACCATGCCCAGCCCTCACCCAGCTCCCAAAGCACGGAGCATCCCGCACCCTCCATCGGAGCCACCCCACGGCTCGGGACGGGGCTGGTGCTGCCGGTGGGATCTCACCTCGTCCGCAGGGAGCCGAGAGGACGGGGTCTGTCCCGCTCACCTCGCACCCCTCCGGCTGCCTCCGGGATGGAGCCGCCTCCTTCTCCTCCTCCTCCCCTTCCTGTGCTGCCCGGGCCCAGCTTGTTCTCATTAGGGCTGGTTTGGGGAGGGAATGTGGGAGGCCGGGGAGGGGCAGCGGCCCCCGGCCCCCTCCCAGATGAGACCCAGCTGGGGCTGGGGGGGGGCCTCATGGGCTCTTGCCTTGCGAGTAACGGGGGGAGCCCCAGTGCCCCCCATCATCCCCACGGCACCGCTGGAAGGGGTCACTTTTAGGGTGCAAGTGGGGATGGGGGTCACAGCCATGGGGGGGGGGGTTGCAAAGGTGTTTTTGTCCATGGGGGTGAAGATAAAGCCCCATTCCGTGGCCACATGGCTGAGCCTCTATGGCAGCACATAGACCCAGTGGTGCTGGCACCCCCAAAATGCCGTTGCTCCCAGTGATGCCATGCTATGCCACTCATCACCCCAGCACAGAGCTGGATCCATCCCTGCACCCTCAAACCCTGCCTGGGCACGCAGCACCCGAGGTCTGGAGGGGGGGGGCGCAGTTCAGGCTTGGTGCCTTGCTGTTATCGAAGGCTGTCAGTGTGAAGGGGGGCAAACAGGGCTTGGACACCCCCCCCCCCCTCGATTCCAGACCCTTTCCTAAACATCCCAGCCTGGAAATGCCCCGGAACAACCCCCTCGGGGTGCGGGGGATGTGCAGAAACCCCCCCCATGGGATGGTTCCATGGTCCCCTCTCTGCGCCCCCCACCGTGTCCTCAGGGCTGAAGTTGCTCAAGAGCCTGCAGCCGCGGCGTGACCTCATCCTCCTGCTATTCGCCTCTGTGCGTCCTTGGGGACCGGGGCCGGATCCCCCCCATAGCGCCAGCACCCCGGGACCGCGGGCACGGCGGGGCCGGTCCCCATGGCCGCTGGCACCGGGACCCGGCGCCAAAGGGAATCGCGGCTCCCAGAAATAACGGCTCCCAACCGCCAGGGCTGGAACCTCGCAGGGAAGGGGGGAAGGAGAGCGGCGGCCGAGGAGAGGCGGCGGGAGCGGCGCCAGCGGCAGCCGGATGCTCTCCTGCAGCCCGGATGGGAATGGGGCCGTGATTCCCCTTCTGTGTGTCCAGCGGTGCTGGTGCTGGTGCTGGTGCTGGTGCTGGTGCTGGTGCTGGTGCTGGTGCTGGGCTGAGCCTCCTTGCCCAGGGTCTCTACTCCCCCATGTCCACAGAACCCATCCCACCTTGAACAGGGTCCCCATCCCACGTCATCCACAGTCCCTATCCCTCCATGTCCAGGGTCCTCATCCCACCTCATCCAGGCTTCCCGTCTTTCCTCCTCCAGGATTACTATTCCTTTACTCCCAGAGTTGCCATCCCTCCTTACTCAGGGTCCCTATTCCTCTGTGCCCAGGGTCCTTATTCCTCCGTGTCCAAGGTCCCCATCCCACCTCATCCAGTGTTCCCATCTTCCCATGCCGAGGGTCCCCATCCCTCTTTACCCACGGTTTCCATCCCACCCTGCCCAGGCTCCCCATCCCTCCTCCTCCATGGTCCCCACCGTCCCCATCCCGGCTCCCGGTCCCTGCCAGCGCACCCCGACCATTAACGCTGCCGTTTTAGCCTGCGGCGGGCGGGGGCTCTGCCCGTGGCGCTGGGCAGGGCTCGGCCCCGCTCTGTAATTTGGGGCCGCTGGAACGTGGGTCCCGCAGGGCCCGGCCCCGAAACCTGCAATTTGGGATGTCCCAGCCCTGCTCTGCTTCTAATTTGCTTCGCCGGGATGCGCCGCGCCAGGGGGACACCTACAGGGACTGATCCTGCTCCATGCCCAGCCCCGGGTGCCCAGGGACCCGCTGTGACACGGAGGTGGCAGCCGATGGGACCTGAGGACTGTGCCCAACGGGGCGATGCCCGGCTCCAGGCAGCGGCTCCGGTGCTGGAGGGAAGTTTATCCTGGCTGGGCTCCTGCTCCAGAGCAGCAGGAACGGGGCTGGGTGAGTGCGGAGCAACGCGCACCCATCCTCATCATCGGGATCCAGCAGCCTCATCCTCACCTTGGACCGGGGCTGGATGAGTGCAGAGCAATCCCTTTGACACGCACCCATCCGCATCATCGGGATCCAGCAGCCTCATCCTCACCTTGGAGCAGGGCTGGATGAGTGCAGAGCAATCCCTTTGACACGCACCCATTCGCATCACTGGGATCCAGCAGCCTCATCCTCACCTTGGAGCGGGGCTGGATGAGTGCAGAGCAATCCCTTTGACACGCACCCATCCGCATCATCGGGATCCAGCAGCCTCATCCTCACCTTGGACCGGGGCTGGATGAGTGCATAGCAATCCCTTTGACATGCACCCATCCGCATCATCGGGATCCAGCAGCCTCATCCTCACCTTGGACCGGGGCTGGATGAGTGCAGAGCAATCCCTTTGACACGCACCCATCCGCATCATCGGGATCCAGCAGCCTCATCCTCACCTTGGACCAGGGCTGGATGAGTGCAGAGCAATCCCTTTGACACGCACCCATCCGCATCATCGGGATCCAGCAGCCTCATCCTCACCTTGGACCGGGGCTGGATGAGCCCCTGTGGGGGTGAAGCTGCATGATGGGAGCATCCCTTCACCCCTGCATGACAGTGGTCCCTGTGGGCTCCCATTCCTCAGCCTGCTCTATGTGCATGGAGGTTTAAGCCACATAAACCTTTGTGCCCGTTAGAGGTGATCCATTAACTCCTACAGCAGCTTTTGGCACGGCACTGGCACCCACATGGGGACAGGGGGGTCAGAGCAGGGAGGCATCACAGGGAGCCCATGGTCAGGGTGTCCCATCCGGTACCGGCCGCCAGCTGCGGATCCCCCCACCCGCAATGGCTCACCATAAACATTTACATCTGCAGCAGGGTGCGGGGCCGCTCACCCCCACATGGATCAAATCCCAGGACAACAGGAATGTAAACAGGGAATGGGGCCGGAGGGGGGTGGGATGACCACCACTGAACACGGCTTCAGGGGCAGCTGCGCACCCAGGGCTCAGCTTGGGGACACAGCGGGACCTGGAGAGCATGCAAAGGGTCCTCACTGCTCTGTGTGAGCTGTGAGCATCGAGGGTGGAGGGGAGTGCTGGGGTGGGGATGGGGATGTGGGGATGGGGATGCGGGGATGGGGATGCGGGGATGGGGATGCTGAACCTGGGAGGGCAGGGTGAGGATACTGAGCCTGGCCACAGCGTGGATGGGATGCAGGGTTGGGGATGTAGGGTTGGGGATGCAGGGATGGGGATGCTGAGCCAGAATGGGGATGCAGGGTTGGGGGTGTAGGGTTGGGGATGCAGAGATGGGTATGTTGAGCCAGAATGGGGATGCAGGGATGGGGATGCAGGGATGGGATGCAAGGTTGAGGATGCTGAGCCAGGATGGGGATGCACGGCTGGGGATGCTGAGCCAGGATGGGGATGCAGGGCTGAGGATGCAGAGATGGGGATGCATCCCCTACCAGGATGGGGTAGGGATGGGGACACGGGGACACTGAGCCTGGCAACACAGGGACAGTCCTGGGCGATTCCTCCTCCCTTGGATGGCTCCCCCAGCACCAAGCACAAGGAAAGGATCAGGTTGGTGGCTCAAGGGGTGATCAACACAGCAGGGGGAGGTGGGATCCAAGCCCCACAGCCCCCAGGTACCAGCAAGGCAGAGGGACCCTTGGTGGCCACTTTGGCTTCACTCTCCCCATCCCTCCCAGCCAGAGTCACAGCCAGGCAGGGACAGCCCTGGCCAACACCTCCCTGTGAGGCTGAGAGCCTGTGACCACCGCTTGCTCATGGGGACGAGCAGCGCACGGGGCCACCGATGAGCAGTGACAGCACCGGAGGCGTCCCCTCACCCCGCTGCAGGCGACCGCAGCGCAGGAACACGTTACACCACGACCCCCCCATCCCCACCCCGTCCTCCCCCCATGCATTTCCGCCCTGCACCTCCACCCTTTCCGCTCCCACACGGAGGCACGAGGCCGAGCCCCACACTGGGTCCCCAGGGCCGTGGTCCCCAAGCCCTGGGTCTGGTCCCTGCATGGGGGGGATGTGGGTTTCACTTCTGCTCCCTGGGGCTGCTGCCGGGGAGAAGGATGGAGAAGTGGGATTCCAGCAGGGATGTTGGCAGGATGGGGGCTGTTCCCACCAGGAATAGACCATCAAGTCCAGGTAACGCTTTAATGGGGTCGGCCTCAAGGGCTGGGCTCACCCTGGGGACAGCAGCTCCCCACCACACTGGTCCGTGTTAAAACAAACCCAAGGGGATGGGGATCCATGGCTCCACACATGTGGCAGCACCAGGATGGGTACCACAGTGCAGACACAGCTGAGGATGCTCTGGGATGCAGGACCTGGTCCCGCAGCTGAGGATGCTCTGGGATGCAGGACCCGGTCCCACGGTTCAGGATGCTCTGGGATGCAGGACCCGGTCCCACAGCTGAGGATGCTCTGGGATGCAGGACCCGGTCCCACAGCTGAGGATGCTCTGGGATGCAGGACCCGGTCCCACAGCTGAGGATGCTCTGGGATGCAGGACCCGGTCCTGCAGCTGAGGATGCTCTGGGATGCAGGACCCGGTCCCGCAGCTGAGGATGCTCTGGGATGCAGGACCCGGTCCCGCAGCTGAGGATGCTCTGGGATGCAGGACCCGGTCCCGCAGCTCAGGCGTGCTCGGGCAGGAAGCTGCTCAGAGTCAGGTTGTCACCATCGGCCTCGGGGCCACCATCGAGCAGCATCCTCGGGGGCCGGACCAGGGCGGGCCGGGGGCCGTTGGTGGCTCCGTCGCCGTCGGGCATCAGCGAGGGGATGCAGAGCATCTCGGTGCGGCTGAGCCGGCGCCGCGCCGTGCGCGTCCGGCGCCACAGCAGGGCCCCCAGCACCGCCGTGCACGCCATGAAGGTGGCGGCCACCAGCGCCAGCAGCAGGATGCTCAGCAGGCACTTGCCCATCACCCCGCTGGGGTCCCAGGGCACCGGCTCCGCCGTCCCCCATGGCTGCGAGCCCCGATGGGTGGGTACAGGGCGGGCTCCGGCTCCCTTGTAGCCGGTGGTGGTGGCACCGAGGGCTGGGGGTGTCGCTGAGCGCGGCCCCATGGAGGAGCTGCTGTTTGTGCCGATGGGCACCGTCCCCTCCTCACTGGGTGACACGAGGTGGATGGGGATGGTGGTGATGCCCTGCTTGGGTGCTGCCTGTGTGCCCGGCTCTGCTGGCGGCAGCGTGTTGGGCTCCGGGGTTTCGGTCTCATCCAAGGGATTGGCTGTGGTTGGCACCACCAGTGCCCAGTGCAGGCCGGCGCTGGTGCTGGGTGCTGCTGGTGGTGCAGAGCTCAGCAATGGGTCGGGTTTGGGGTTATCGGTGTCATCCAGGGGATCGGCTGTGGTTGGCACTGCTGGTGCCTGGTGCAGGCTGGCGTTGGTGCTGGGTGCTGCTGGTGGTGGTGCGGAGCTCTGCAATGAGTCAGGCTCAGGGGAATCGGTCTCATCCAAGGGATCAGCCGTGGTTGGCATCACCAGTGCCCGGTGCAGGCTGGCACTGGTGCCGGGTGCTGCTGGTGCTGGTTCAGAGCCCATAAACGGGTTGGGCTCAAGGGAATCGGTCTCGTTGCTGCTGGGCATCGCGGTGGCACCGTGGCCATGTCCTGGTGCGGGGGCACTGAGCTGCTTCCCGACATCGTCCCTCTTCCCACGGGTGAGCAGCGGGGCCTCATCCCGCACCCCCCAGACCCATTGCACACCCTGGTGCTGAGGTGCGGCCCCGCACACCCGCAGGGTGCTCAGCACCAGCAGCACCAACACGGCCCAGCCCGGCGCCATGGGACCTGCGGGGAAGAGATAGGGAGGTGAAACTGGGTCCTGCTCAGCGAGAGGATGCTGAGCAGGATTCAGGTTGGAAATGGCCTCAAGGAGGGATTGCATTGCCCTTCAGCCTCCTCCTCCCCTCCTGGAGAGGGGACCGTGGGTCTGGGGGGGCCGGATGAACCCCAGCCTCCTGCAGGGCTCAGCCCTGGCCCCGTGCTTGGTAAGAAAGCCTTGAGAAGGAAGTGGAGTGTCTGGAAATGGGAAACGAGCCGCGATGGAGGCGCCTGCTGCGGGATGGGGCAGTTGCAGGATGACGCCCGTGCAGAAATGAAACCACGGGGGGGGTCACACAGGTTTTGGGGGGCTCCATTGTCCCCTTCCACCGCCCGGGCCGGTGCTGGGACCCGAGGGTGAGGCCACCATGAACCTGCGCATCTGCACCGGGGTCTGAGGGCAGCAAACCCACCCCAACCCCAAACCCCCCCTTACATCCATCAGTCACCAATACCCCCCCTGACAGCAGCATCCCTGCGGTCCTGCACCAACCGCATCCAAACATGGATCAACGTTCCCCTGGTGTGGAGCATCCCTGTTAGGCTCCCACATCCCAAAACACCCTCCCCCCCCCCAAAACCCCACTGACCATCACTGCACGGAGCACGGCACCCTTGGGACCCACACATACGCTAAGGGGTACCCTGAGCCCCTCTGCACCCGCAGCATCCCCACCCCAGCACCTCCCCATTGGTGCTCACCTCTGCCGGGGGCCGCGGTGGGACCCGGAGCTGTGGCTCCGGTGGGAATCACCAGCACCGGAGCGGGTCCAGCCCCAGGTTGGGCGATGCCGAGAGCCGAGGGGCACCGCGGGCACCTCTGCCTGTGCAGGGAGGGGAAGGGAAGGGAAGGGGAGGCAGCACGGAAGAGCTGCTGTGGTTTCAGAGCCCTGCGTGGGGAGGACGTCACTCGGGAGCGGGGCCACAAGGACCGGGCCATGTGCAGGCTCCAAGGTGCCCTCTGAGCCCCCAAGGGCTGGGCAGGGCGGTGGGGATGGGGGTGCCCCCCAAAAGGGGTGCTTCACCCCTGCCTTGTGTCCCGGTGCCCAGTGGGAGTTCCATGGATGGCTCAGCCCCACTGGTGGCTTTGGTTGAGCCGGGTGTCGAAAGCAGAAGTGATGCAAACCTGGTGCCAAGGGCTGGCAGCCACCAAGGGCATGGTGTGGGCATGGCCATGGTGGGTTCAGGTCGTGGTGCACCAAGGGGTGACAGAGAGGGACCCCAACACTGGGAAACAGCCTCCACATTAAGAGGAGGAGGAGGCTGAGGACCTGGCTCGATGCCTTTGTGCTGGGGTCCTCCTCCAAGCACCAGTGATGCTGAGGAGCTCTCGGGGGGCTGCAGGGACCCGGCTGTGGCTGTGGCAGGGGCACGTTGTGCTGCACCGGGTGGAACAGCCACCCTGACCGCAGGCACCGGGGCTGCGGCTGCAGGAAGGATGCTGCAAGAGCACATCCGCTGCTGCAGGGGCCATAAACAACACAGGGCCCTCGCCTCCCCCAGCACGGCTCACCTGCGGGAAAGCCCCTGGCCAAGGGGATGGAAGGGGATGGAAGACGCATGGGAAATAGGGATCAGGTCTGTGGGAGCGGCTGTGGTAGGGCAGAGGGGTGAGCAGCAGCCCTGGGGTGGGTGCAGGGTGTGCATGGGTAGCCAGGGAGCATCTCACCTACAGCATCCCTGTCCCATCCCTGGGCAGCTGTGAAACACTGCAGCCCCCAGGGTAAGGCTCCAACCTGGATGGGGACTGAGTGATTCCATCCCCAACTGGGGCTGTTGGTGCTGCTGCTGCACTTCCTGTGCCCTTGACGCAGGTTTCAGCTGAGGAAGACCCATGCTGGTCCTTCCAGAGATCACATCACACCAACATCCATGCCATCACGTCCATATTGAGCCAATGTCTCCGGTTCACTCACAGGGAAAGCAGCAGCAGCTCCTGGTGTGACCACAGGGATGGGCCCTGGATCCCTTGGGACACAGATGAGCAGTGGGGCCCCAGAGGCCAGTCCCTGCTCAGCCCCAACCCCACACAGCCGGGTTTCTATGGCTGCGGTTAAGAGCAGCACCATCATGGATACGGTTAAACCTACAGTGTGGTGGGTGCAGGACGCAGGGAGGCAAAGAAACAGCAAAGCAGAGGCAGTTTATAATCAATGACCTTTATCTTTTGAAAATGGAAGCAAAGATTTGGACAGATACTATGGCCGCTCTATAAGAGCGCATCTTTCAGGACTTGGCTGGTTCTCTTCTGGGATATCACGGCTACAAAAAGCTTCAGGCACTGACTCCGGTTGAGCCTGGGTAGGCATCAGGTCCATGGAATAAAACACAAGCTTAGCAACTAAATCCTCTGCCCTCCTCGGACCATCTCCCGCACAGCGGCCTCTTGGGGCACTTCCATCCACAGCTCCACTCATTTCCCTCCAGTTCAAAACCCCAAAGCATCCCCAGGCCTGGAGGGACCGGTACACACGGACACAGAGCTCAGCGTCGGGGGAGCATCACGGTTGGGTTTGGTTTCCAAAGAAAGGATTGAAATCAAACTAAAAACCACACATTAATCTCAGCCATTTACTGCAATACAAAACCAGCACCAAACAGTCAAGTAACCCGGAGCAACTGGATTGGGAATCCAGCATCAGTGGTCATGGATACTCCTTCTCCTGTGCTCAGCACTTACAACACAAAACCCCACGTGGATGAAGCGTCCATGCAAGCAGAACACATCCTCACCTCCTCACATCCCCCTGCAGCTACGTCACTTGGCCATCCCCATGGTGTGGTTTCACCTCATACACACACACACACACACAGACATCCCTCCAGAACACAGAATCTGCAAGCTCTGAACATGCAAACACTGGGGAGAACAGGGAATGTGAAGAGTTCTAGCTATCCTAATGGAAAATGGGAATCAAAGCCATCACTTCAGCCCGGAGGAAGGGACATGTTCCTCCTGCCCAGTGGCAGCCACGGGGGATGCTGCACTGCTGGGGTGGTTCCAAGCACACTCCATGCATGCAGGTCAGGGATGCAGGGAGCTGTTGCAGGGATCAGCCCCCAGGCACTGAGGTTCCTCAGCCAACAGCTCTCAGGCACCCCATACTCCTTGTCCACTTTGGGTTGCCAACACTGCCCCAGCACCGAGGGCATGGCAGCACCCATCCAGCCCAGTGTGGCTTCCAGAGTGCATGGATCCCACTCACACCGCAGGGACCTGTCCCTGCTGTAGGCAGCCCCTTGCAGCCAAAATCCCTCTTAAGCAGAGCTTGAGGCCTCCAAGAAATCCCATGAGGAGCTCATGAGCCCGGTGTGCTCATGGGGTGTCTCCCACAGGGATCCCAAAGGACCATGTGGGAAAGCAGCTCTGCAACCGGGATGAAAACCCCCCTCCCCAGTCCCTGCTGCTCCACTGACCTGGGAGTGAAGCACCTGGACCTAGAGGATGCTCATCTGACCTGGGAGCAAATGGTTTCACAGAACCACAGATGGGCTGGAAGGGACCTTAAAGCTCCTCCAGTCCCAACCCCTGTCATAGACAGGGACCCCTTCCACTGGAGCAGGGTGCTCCAAGCCCCTGTGTCCAACCTGGCCTTGAGCACTGCCAGGGATGGATCTCCAGCACGGTGTGGGGCTGAGGCAGGAATGATGGAGCAGAAGAACAAGATTCATGAACAGAATAACAGATGCATTTTGTTTCTGGAGACCCCTTGTGATAAAGTCACTTGGCTGCTGCTAACGCTGCTTCGGAAGCAGAGCCTCAGTTTCTAACATCAGCACTGAGTCAAGGGGCAGGGAATTGCAAGCTCGTGGCATTGAAAAGCTTCTTAAAGCCAATGAGCGTTGGTGGTGCAGGAACATTTACAGCAACACGGGGCTTGAACAGACAGCACGGAGAACCTGGAGGCCCCCATGGCTCACCTGAAGCTCTGCTCCATGGATGAAGGGAGAAACATCTGCATGAAAGGAACTTCTGCCTCAAGGTAAAAACCTGCCCCTTCTGCACATGGCTGGAGGAATCCCAAACACGGGCATGTTTTAAAGGGCAACGTGATGCTAGTTTATAAGCTGAGTAAAAGAAGAGGTGTTTGGGGGGGAATCACCTCATTCAGACTGACTTTTGATGTAAGCAGTCAGGCAGCGGTGATGGGGACACGGCAGGAGAGGCAGCTCCTGTGGGGTCTCAGCAGCAGCCGTGGCCACACTGCAAAGGAAACCCATCTGATTGTTCAGCATCTAAGGTTTGTACAGAACAGCTTCAGGTTTGTTTGCTGAACAGTAGAAACACCCAGCACACACACACACAACACACACACACAACACACATACACACACAGAGGCCGTGCTGTCCCTGGGAATTGAAAACACAAATACTGCAAAAGTGGCAAATCAGAAAAATAAAAAGCAACTTTTTTCTTTCTTTTTTTTTTTTTTTCCTCTTTTTTTCTTATTTTTTCTTTTTTGGCAACTTTAAAAAATGGTTAAGAACAATGTGGCCTTGGTCCCTACACCTAGAAAAAAGATCTCTGGGCACAACATCGAGAGTCAGGATGGATTTGTCGTCAAGAACATCTGGGAGGGAAGAAAATAAAACCCCGTCAAAGTAGCACTTATTTCTTGTGGCCTTGGTTGACACAGTCACAAAATTCATTAAAACATCAGGAAAAAAAGAAAAAGATCTTTCACTAAAAAGCTTGGCTTGAAATCATCGCTCTCGTTGACGTGAACTGAGGAGAACAGGAAAGCTCGTACTGGAATGCTGCAGGCTGCTGCTTGCTCAACTGGGAACTGGAATGTGCCTGGGCTGGCGCCCCACTTCAGTCCGCGATCTTTGCCATCTGCTGCTCCAGCTTGGAAATGCGCTCGTCCTGGTTGGTGATGGTGTCCTTGATGGATTTCAGCTCTTTCAAAATCTCATCCAATTTGGCTTCGTTTTGCTGGAAGACAACACAAGACAAGACAAGTGTTCTTGTGAGGAGAGCGGCTGGGATGTGCTCTTGCAGAGGGGAGTCCCAAAGCAAGGGGCTTCTCTGAACTGGGTCCTCACAGCTGGGATGCTCAGGGCATGGACCAGCACTTCCAGTGCCAGCAGAGCAACCTCTGAGGACACACTGGGCCCAGACCTGCTCTTTAACAACCTTTAAGGACCCACGTGACTGATGGAGGTCACTTTCACATCTCTGTGTATTACTGTACCTGTGTTACTTATAGAGCCCACCTACAGACTTGCACTTCTGGGCCTGACTGGGCTGAGGTTCACTGCTCCCACTGCCTGTGCTGGGTCTTACACACAAGAATTGATGCACAGCAGCTCTCCCAGGCAGGTGGGTGGCTGGAACAAGAAGCTAAGCCTTCCCTTGTGCCACAGTCCCCAGTCACCTTCCACAGCTACACCCTGCCTGGAGCACCACCACTCCAGCACCACCTCAACTCCAGGTTACCCTCTGGCACCCAAATCCCAGGGTACTTAATGCCTGAGCTTTGTTATGACTGGTTGTGAGAATGCAGCACCCTGGTATTCATGTTTCATGTCCCAGAAAGCTGGTGACCTTTACTCACAGTGTTTGAGGCATCAGCTGCTTTCTTTGGAGCATTTATGAGATCACTTTTCTTGTTTGCGGCAGGCTTGTTGTCCAGTATGTTCTTCTTGACCACCTTTAGATCTCTGTTCTTGCCTGGAATGTACCCATGCTTCAAGGAGATGAGGAGGGGATCGGCATTCTTCCCCTCAAACCACTCTTCTGCTTCCAGAGCTGCCTCTGGACCGGCTGTATCAGGGTACAGGTCATCCTGGAAGAGGTCCGACTGCAAGCCAGAAGAGATGAATTGGTCAAGTGCTTTGGGGCTGGAAGGCACGAGCTGGCTTCAAACACATAAGCGGGAGGCAGTGCTCACCTTTCGAGGAACCGTCATGATGATGGGCTCACATTTCCTCTCGTGAAGCTTGAAGAACCTTTCAAATCAGAAGGGAAGGCGTGACTTAGACGTGAGGACAGCCAATGCTGTGCAAAGGTGGCCTCTGTTGTGCCACTCAGGTGCAACAGTGTAAAGGGAGACAGAGGAGATCAAAACAAGCAACCCCAAGGAGTCACAGTGCTAGGACTTGCAGGGTCCTGCAAGGGTGGGAGAAAACCACCCATGACTGGTACCAGTGACTTCAGAGAGTCACACTCTGGCCAGGAGGGATGT